GTATATGCAAGTCAGTTTTTGGACGGTCGTGAACTCAAGTAGCATTCGCGTTATCATAAGTGGAGGGACACGTCTGTAAAAGAAATGAAAGCATACATCGCATTACAAATTGCTATGGGTATCCATTATAAGCCCAAAATACAGGATTATTGGGGGACATACTGGCTTACCGCAGGAAGATTTGGCGATGTTATGTCCAGGAACAGGTATCAGCTTTGATAAATAATATCAGATTTTATGCATTTTGCTTTACAAGCCATGAGGTAACATCTGTTTGTGTTCAACAAAGCATATTATTGATAAATGTGGTAAAACAAGAATTTGTAACAGAGTTACCAACGTCCCCCGCCTCGGGGAAGTTTTATATGAAGCAAAAAATTGTGCTATTTCAAAAGATTGAGGCAGGGATCTAAGGATTTTCAGTCCAAAATTATGATCAATGCTAGATCTGCAAATGCAACAATAAATTTGTTAAAGAAATAAAATGAAGCACTGAATTTAAAAATCTATCATGATAAGCTTTGACCTCTAAGTGTGACCTTGACCTTGGAGGTAGGGGTGCAGGTGTTGTGCATGACCTATCATCTTATTATTGTAACTATTTGTGCCAAGTTATTTCAAAATCTCTTGAACTATAAAGAAGTTCTACATTGGACACAATATATTCCCTTTAAAAGACTATGTTAATTTTTGACCTCGAAATGTGACCTTGACCTTGGAGGTAGGGATGCAGGTGTTGCGCATGACACATTGTCTTATTATAGTGAATATTTGTGCCAAGTATTTTAAAAATCCTTTGATATATGAAAAAGTTGTGGACCGGACAAAAAAAATACCCTATACACGAGATATACCCTCAAATAGACCTTGAATGAGCAAGTGCGACCTTGACCCTGGAGGTAGGGGTCTGGTTGTTGCGCATGACACATTGTCTTATTCTAACAAACATTTGTGCCAAGTAATTTCAAATTCCTTCAATAAATGACAAAGTTATGGACCGGACACGAAATATACCCTGTAACAGGCTATGTTACTCTTTGACCTCTAAGTGTGACCTTGACCTTGGAGGTAGGTGACCGGTTGTTGTGCATGACACTTCTTCTCATTATTGTGAGCAATTGTGGCAAGTATTTACAAAATCCCTTCAAAGATAAGAAAGTTATAGACCGGACACGAGATATACCCTCAAATAGACAATGTTGACCTTGAATGAGCAAGTGTGACCTTGACCCTGGTGGTAGGGGTCTGGTTGTTGCGCATGACACATCGTCTTATTATAACAAACATTTGTGCCAAGTTATTTCAAATTCCTTCTATAAATGACAAAGTTATGGACCGGACACGAAATATACCCCGTAACAGGCTATGTTAATCTTTGACCTCCAAGTGTGACCTTGACCTTGGAGGTAGGGGACCGGTTGTTGCGCATGACACATCTTCTCTTTATTGTGAGCAATTGTGGCAAGTATTTACAAAATCCCTTCAAAGATAAAAAAGTTATGGACCGGACACGACATATACCCTCAAATAGACAATGTTGACCTTGAATGAGCAAGTGCGACCTTGACCCTGGAGGTAGGGGTCTGGTTGTTGCGCATGACACATCGTCTTATTATAACAAACATTTGTGCCCAGTTATTTCAGATTCTTTCAATAAATGACAAAGTTATGGACCGGACACAAAAGTGTGACGGACGGACAGACGGACGGAAAGACGGACAGAGCCTATTACTATATCCCCCTTTTTTCTTCGAAAAGGCGGGGGACAATAATTTGAAAAATATGGTTTTGCTTCATTTATATCACAATTATTAAGATTTCTGCAACTGTATAAACAAAGGTCAAGGTCATCAGATTTGGTAATAAATACAGACTTTTAAAGGAAAATTAGAGACATTATGTATACCAAGTTTCATTGAGATATATAATCAAATAATGATTTTATTTATATATCACCATGATAAGCCTTTTTACTGATTTCCCAGAAATAAACTTGGCACTGGAAAGTATGTTATACCAGAAAGTTTGCAGCGAAAGAGTTAAATCAAGAGGGCCATGATGGCCCCGAGGTCGCTCACCTGTATAAAGGCCCCCCCCCACCCCAACGTTGCAGGGCCAATTTTAACCCAAGGGCTTTTATTTGCACAAACTTGGTAGACACCCATAAGAAGATGTTTCATGCTAAACATCTAAGCTCTGGCTCATTGGGCTTTTTAAAAGAAGATTTTACTATACACATATAGTTAAAAACAATGACACCCCTGAGGCCGGGCCAGTTTTGACCCCAGGGCTTTTATTTGAACAAACTTTGTAGACACTAACTAGAAGATGTTTCATGCTTAATATCTAAACTCTAGCTATTTGGGTTTTTTTCAAAAAAGATTTTAAGTTTTTGCTATACACATATAAGGAAAATCAATGACCCCCGGGGTGGGGCTAATTTTGACCCCAGGTCTTTTATTTGAACAAACTTTGTAGACACTCACTAAAAGATGTTTCATGCTTAATATCTTCACTCTAGCTATTTGGGTTTTTTCAAAGAAGATTTTTTAAGTTTTTGCTATACACATATAAGGAAAATCAATGACCCCCGAGGCAGTGCCAATTTTGACCCCAGGGCTTTTATTTGAACAAACTTGGTAGACACCTATTAGAACATGTTTGATGCTAAATATCTTAGCCATAGCTCTTTGAGTTCTTTAACAGAAGATTTTTTAAGTTTTTACTATATGCATATAGGGAAAATCAATGACCCCCTGGGGCAGGGCCAATTTTGACCCCAGGTCTTTTATTTGAACAAACTTGGTAGACACTTATTAGAACATGTTTCATGCTAAATATCTTAGCTCTGACTCTTTGGGTCCTTTAAAAGAAGATTTTTTAAGTTTTTACTATATGCATATAGGGAAAATCAATGACCCCCTGGTGCGGGGCCAATTTTGATCCCAGGGCTTTTATTTGAACAAACTTGGTAGACACCTATAAGAGCATGTTTGATGCTCAATATCTTAGCCATAGCTCTTTGAGTTCTTTAAAGAAGATTTTTTAAGTTTTTACTATATGCATATTTGGGAAAATCAATGACCCCCCGGGGCGGGCCAATTTTGACCCAGGGCTTTTATTTGAACAAACTTGGTAGACACCCATTAGAACATGTTTCATGCTAAATATCTTAGCTCTAGCTCTTTGGGTTCTTTAAAAGAAGATTTTTTAAGTTTTTACTATATGCATATAGGGAAAATCAATGACCCCCTGGGGCGGGGCCAATTTTGACCCCAGGGCTTTTATTTGAACAAACTTGGTAGACACTCACTAGAAAATGTTTCATGCCAAATATCTAAGCTCTAGCTCTTTTGGTTTTTTAAAAGAAGATATTTAAAGTTTTTTCTTTCGGTTGCCATGGCAACCAGAGTTCTGCATGGAATTAAATTCTTTGAACAATTTTTAAAGGTGACCACCAAAGGAACATTCCTGTGAAGTTTGATTGAAATTGGTTCAGTGGTTTATGAGGAGATGTCATTTAAAGTAAAAGTTTACGGACGGATGCCGGACGAAAAGTGATCATATAAGCTCACCCTGTCACTTTGTGACAGGTGAGCTAAAAATAGCTTTGCATGGAATATATAAACAATTCATATGTGAAGAAAAATTCATGTGAAGTTGAAAACACTTTTAACTTAATATTTTTATGTGAATATCAGCCAGTAATGTGAACTTTTTTAAAGTGGATTTTTAAAAAAATTAAAAAGTTGACATTTGGACATACTTTTTACTGTTTTGATATTTATCAGTGTGCATTAGGACAAATGGAATTTAACAGTATTATGTTGCTGATAATTGCTCCAAGTTTAAGCACCATTCATAAGGTCTTACCGTCTTACTATGAATATTTCAAAGCAGTCAATTATGATTGAAAGTTTCTTAGCAAAATGTTTACAGAACTTATGAGGCATTGTCGTCTGCAGTTCTTCTATTTCTTGTCAATATATAAAATATTTCATTCTCACAAACATAAGATGAATAACCAAACTAAATATTGTTTATAACATGGAGGATGAAGTCTTAAATCTATATGCCAAATCTTTCAATGGGAAATTATGTTTGAACAGTCTTGTAACAATCTCTCAAATGCATATTCTTTTTCACTTGACACTAAATCCATAACAACCATCATTAACACTTGTAGTTTATTAATAAAAATACTTTAGGTATTGTTTGTATTACTGGAGTTGGAGATATTTGTCAGTATGTGTTGGTCATATATTCAAGAAATATTTTATTAGGGCCATTTTCTTAAGGAAGGGAGGTGTGTGGAGTGAATCATAAAGTAAACAACGAAATGGGCTAATAATGTAAGGTTTTAAAAAAAAACTATTCTTCAAATCTTATCAATCACTTCTGTACCATTTGGGACATATTACCATTGTTTGCATGTAATTATTTTAGTACATGTATAAATATTTTATATTTCAGAAGTAAGGTGTTAATGTTTTATTCATTTTTCACAATTTCAACTTTGAAGCATTTCAAAATTCACAATAGAAAAGGCATGGGCTGTATTACAAAAAAAGTGAGGGAAAAAAAAATCAATGAGTACATACAGTGTACTGCAGTCATTCTAATTATGAATATAAACATTTTTTGTCAGCAAAACTCCAAACCTATCCATATATATAGCAATATTTTAAAATAAAGTGCAACCTATGTGGAGCAACCAACTGATAAGAAATAACCTGTTTTCTTCAACAACAATATCATAATTTCCTGATGTGACATTTTGCGATATTAAATAAATCTAACTTGAGCCGCGTCACGACAAAACCAACATAGTGTGTTTGCGACCAGCATGGATCCAGACCAGCCTGCGCATCCGCCCAGTCTGATCAGGATCCATGCTGTTCGCTATCAGTTTCTCTACTTGTAATAGGGTTGATAAGCGAACAGCATGGATCCTGATCAGACTGATGCGCAGGCTGGTCTGGATCCATGCTGGTCGCAAACCCATTATGTTGGTTTTGTCATGACACGGCTCACTTGTCTAGAGCCACACCTCTCGGCAACAACTAAATCATTTTTCCTCCCAAAGGGTGTTGCTCTGCAGAAGTTGCAATTCATTTCCCTTTAACATATATCACAATGTTACAGTAGCTTTTTATGTGTCGCTATCTATGTTTAAAGGGGCTAATGCTAATCTTTATTATCATATTGTTTTCATCTGTTTTAGCATAACATTTTCCTGTTATATAACACGTAAAGTACTTTTAAAACACATAAATAATACAAGTAAACAGGCAAAAAAATATGCATTATCTAATTAAAATATTCAACTGCAATATACGTAGGTGTAACAATGATTTTGAGCATATGTTACCAGCTTTATCATTCACTTGCAAACATTATTATTTCAACTTTTTTTTTTACTAAACATGATTTAACTTATCAAAAACAAGCGAATATATATTTTGTAATATTAAAACTAGTCTGTAAACTGATAATTCTCAACATTTACACATATCATACAGTTTAAAATACTGAGCTTATCCATTAATACTTGTTAATATTTGAACCTCATACAAATATGTACCTTCTTATGTTACAGTCTAAATTTTTGTACCTCACTGATAATGAATACCTTTTAAGAATCTCTCAAATAATTACCATGCAATGTATTAACTTAATAGTTGCCTGGACACTTGTTGATTCAAAATTAACATATTCGTTTATTACATATAAACATATTTGTTGATAATACTACATTAACATACAATCAAAACCTAACCAAAACAGACAAGTAAGGATAACACCAAAATCAGAAGCTGTTCACAACACTTCTTTGACAAATAAATAATTTTAAAATAAAATCCACCATCCTGCTGCTAGAGTAACTGTATCAATTACTAACTATTGCAAGAAATCCTGACCTTGGTCTATGAAGATATTCTATAATTATCAGCTATAGCTAACCGAACCAATGATCCCCTTGACAGGCTCGCGTCCACTCTTCCTGGCACAACCAACACCAGTCCCTGCGACATCGGCTACATTTCATGTGCATACATCCACCTGAAACCATATTTACATATTTTTCAAACATCTGATGATAACTCCTGTACATCTAGACTATTAATACATAGATGAATGGGAAAACAATTACATTGTACCACTTTTAATACATTTTACTTTTTTGTTCTCTTTGAACACTTAAATTTTAACAAATATTGAAATAAAAATATCCAGTTAAACTTGTTTGTTTTTCTTGGGTTTTTTTACGCCAACCTTTTCACTCATGTTTTGGCCATATCTCGGCAGTTGATCCAACTAACCGGCTTTCCTGGATAACAAACCAGTAATTATCAACTTGTTCCAAAGTGACCAACTACCAATCCTTAAAGATTTTTAAGTCAGCAGTGAGAGACGAGTGAACATTAGACTCCATGTACGAGATAAAGTGTCAGAGAAAAATTATGCCTCGCCCAAGGACCAAACATGTGACCTCTGTATTACTAGTCAGATGCTCTCCCTGTTGTGCTAAGCAAGCTGACTGATAGTAAAAAAAAAATCTAGTGCCCCTATCTGCATCATTTCACATGCCTATATGGAATCAATCACTAAGCAGTGAAGTGAATTAAGTCAGCAACCTACACAAATACTACTTTACCTTACAGAAGAAAAATATTATTTTCATTACTGAGCCATGCTATTATCAGATACAAACCAACCAAATTTTGACATGAAAAAGTTTAACTACAGTTACAATACACAGTCCATTCAGAAAGTTTGTTGACATTACAAACCAATGAGATTTGACAACATCCACATCAGAAAAACACAATGCAAGCTTTCTCCAGTAGAGTATATGATATAATGATAGTTTAGCAGAAAAATCAGTATGAAGTGGAAAATTGTTGATTATTGCATTTAGTATACTCAATACATGGGTTGAATGAAGCATGGGTTGAATGAAGTAACAGCTAACGTGAAAGTTTGGATTTCTGTCCTCGAGCATTGACCATGTATTTAGGAAAAATGATATACAAATAATAGCTACCATTTCTCTCAGTTTTTACAGCACAGTGAGGACAGGGTTTTGTGGTGTCTTGTATGGTTTCCATGGACGCAGCTTCCCATCGTGCCCTAAGAGCCCTCTCAGAGTCCACATTCATTGTCTAAAATGGGGAAAATATAACTATATCCAATGGAGAAAATATTAACTATGCCTAACAGAAGATTGAAAATCATACTGCAGATATGAGACTTGGATACTTGACTATTATTAAGTTTTTGATATCAAATAAGTGTGTGAAGTTAAAAGCAAATATCTTCTGTGATTGATGAGATCTGATGTTGTACAAGAAGTTGAAATTAACACTTTAACCAGTGCAATGCCAACACACGGACAAGAAAAACAGCCGGACTATTCTTCCAAAAGACTGAAGTTGAAGCTGAATACACTATTAAGAAGCTGAATTTATATGAACCTCAAACCTGCAGCTGTTGTTAGCCAAATAAAAAGACCAATATGAATTCAGCAAATTAATAATAACATACCTACAAATAGATTTGTTTTATCAAAACCATACAACAATCAAATAATTTACCATGTTGACTTGGGCTGTTGCATCATGGGACTGGCAAGAACCTCTGTGCACTTCCTGTCTACACTGACGACAAAACTCCATCTATAAGTCAACCAAAAAATATTTCCATTCATCTAAATTGTCAAGAAGCATGCATTAGATAAAAACAAAGGTTAACCAAAAGAAAGTCTTCTAAGTTTGTTTTGTTTGTTTGTTTCATTTTACGCCTTTTCCCAACAGTATTTCAGTCATATAGGCGGGTAGTTTCCTAACCATCGTTCCTGGAGAGTTACACCAGTACTAGACTACCTTCCTCCTCGCTAAACTAAGATTAACAAGTTCAAATGTAAATGACCCTACCATAACCTATGAAAATGTGATGGTTGCTCTAAATAAGGCTTTTTTCTGTCACAGCAAGGGCCATTTATAGGCTTTTTACCTCTGGAAAATTCTTTAAAATCATGAAGTTATCCCCATAAAATTCAGTGTAATCAAATTTTGCGTTTTCTGCTATGAAAATAGCCCTGATTTGTCTGACAACTTCTAACTTCTTCCTCAATTAGAAATTAGCATATGACTATACACTGTATATGACTATATTATTGAAAATCCAACAAAAGCAAGACATAAAAAGTAGTAAAAATTGATTCAGGCCATCCTTAAAAAAATGTTTGTTTGCAGTAACGCGACCGACTCACAAAATATGCCCCTACTCAAATTTTATTTTCATGGTCAGGATAAAAAAATTTTTTTTTTTAATCAGAAAATTATGCCTTGTGCTTTGTTTTGTTCTTTTAAAGGTTAATAGAAGAAATAAAATGTAGGTCTTATTAAATTAGAATTCAGTTATCAATTTATTAATTGTTACCAGATAAACAAAGCATATATTGTCCAGCATTTTGAAATTCCATGTTTATTTTGAAGTACAGTTCAAAAAAAAAAAAAAAAAAAAAAAAAATCGACCTACCTACCCACCTTGAAAATTCTGGGTCGGGTTACTGCAAACAAACATTTTTTTAAGGATGGCCCCAGTGCAAAGCATAATTACGATACATCAATATCGGATGGCAAATATCGACAATACATCGATAAATACCCCTAATTTCTTATATATTATCCACTTTCATACATGGTCAAATGATTTTAGTAAAATGCATTTTCTATCCATACAAATATGTTGTGTCCTGTTTATAAATGTCCTTTGTATAATTTTTTTTCTTCATCACTACTATGAAATTGTATCCATTATATAACAACAGCTTTGAGTTAGACATGGCCACCTGCTTTTGTATATGTTTTGAATGAATTTTCATAATTTACCGCCTGTTAAATAATCAGTCAAAACTAGAACTGCCACTGTCATGGCGTGAATACCCCCACATACCACTTTGTCAGAATCAACAGTGGCCATTTAGAGCTCAAGGACAACCTCCCTGCCAAATTTTGAGGTTACTAAGCCAGTGCATTGCTAAATTATTCTAATTACTAAGTTTAGAATTCTACATGCTTCAAATGTTAAAATGTCAAAATCAATACACTGCGGACAGACATTCTTAAGCATCTGAGCAGACAAGCTTATTATAGTAAAAATCCCTGTGACATTGACCTTTGACACAGTCACCTAAAAATCAATAGGGTCATATACTTGTCATAAACAACCTAAATACCAAATATGAAGACTGTTGACCAAAGCATTCTTTAGCAATTGAGCGGACAAGCTTTTTTTAATCAAGGCCCCTGTGACCTTGACCTTTGACCCAGTAACCACAAAATCAATAGGGATCATCTCCTAATCATGACCTATCTAAATACCAAATATGAAGACTGTCGGTCAAAGGAATCTTAAGTTATTGGGCGGACAAGGTTTTTAAAGTCAAGGCCCCTGTGACCTTGACCTTTGACCCTGTGACCTCAAAATCAATAGGGATCATCTACTAATCATGACCAATCTAAATACCAAATATGAAGACTGTGGGTCAAAGGAATCTTAAGTTATTAGGCAGACAAGCTTTTTTAAGTCAAGGCCCCTGTGACCTTGACCTTTGACCCTGTGACCTCAAAATCAATAGGGATCATCTACTAATCATGACCAATCTAAATACCAAATATGAAGACTGTGGGTCAAAGGAATCTTAAGTTATTGGGCGGACAAGCTTTTTTAAGTCAAGGCCCCTGTGACCTTGACCTTTGACCCAGTGACCTCAAAATCAATAGGGATCATCTACTAATCATGACCAATCTAAATACCAAATATGAAGACTGTGGGTCAAAGGAATCTTAAGTTATTGGGCGGACAAGCTTTTTTTAGTCAAGGCCCCTGTGACCTTGACCTTTGACCCTGTGACCTCAAAATCAATAGGGATCATCTACTAATCATGACCAATCTAAATACCAGATATGAAGACTGTGAGTCAAAGGAATTTTAAGTTATTGGGCGGACAAAGAAAAACCGACGGACGGCCGGACGAGAGACATAAGGACAGCCGGACGGACATGCTGATTCCAGTATACCCCCCTTACAACTTCGTTGTGCGGGGGTATAATTATTGATTTTTTTCAAATGTTATCGATTCTTGATTGGCAAAAAAAATATCAACGATACATAGATATCGTCTCTATCGATGACTGATCTGCTAAAAATACACAAACTCTAGAGAGATCAATACTCTACTTGTTTCGTACCCGACATGTTCTGCACTGAACATTCCTTGCATCATCTTCAACTATAATCCCCTCGCCACAGCCAGTGTTCGGACAAAGTATACCTCCAGATTGTAACAGGCACTCTTCCGCACCAAAATCTTTATATCGTTCATACTGTAACACAACCATTCCTTTTATTAAGCATGTCATTTTACAGCGTTACAATTTTATGAAATATTGAAAGTCAACAAGTTTTATGTACTGTTCTGGTTGCTATATAAATTTAAGTATAACCTATGAAAACTACATCATGGAATCGGTACTTTGGCTCAGTGGTCTCATTGCTACTTTAGGTTATATGCAGGATGTTGTAAGTTTGAATCCCAGCCACAGTGCCATCTTTTCTTATGTATTTGCAACTTAATGGTCGTGTTTTTATGTCAAACCAACACAGTAGAAGTCATATGGCCACTTTCCACCTGAACTGGTGGAGAAAGACCTCAGGTGCCCCTCTTTGAATTATTTCAGGCACGAAAGAGCATCAGAGTAGAACCACAGATGTTCCATGAACTAGCTGGATAGTTTTCTCACATGAAATATTTTAAAGTCCCTCGTGGGATTCGGACCTATAGTGGTGAGGGGCAAGTGGTTTGAAGTCAACAACTTTAACAACTTGTCCACAGACACCTCAGCCATGATCATTTAAAAATCTGTTAAAGTGAGATAAAATGTATATTAACGGCTGTAATTAAAGTCGCAGTATAATTCATCTGTTTTAGTGATAAGTAATTTTTTTATTGATTTGTATACTTAATCGCAACATTATATAAATTCTGATTAAACATATATATAAAACAGAATTAAATACACTGCAACCAACTTGCATTTCTTTGGAAAATATACTTTTTTTGTTTTATTTGATTGAAGAGAACGACCATCTGCTGTTCACAAGTTGATTACAGTCCATTTATTTTATATGTAATTATTCATGCAATATATTAATCATTTAATAAAAACATACAAAATGTTACTAAATGAAAAAAAAAATGCATTTTTATAACTGTTATGTCCATCTTTTATATATAATTTAAATATGAATATCACTGAGTAAATAGCAAAAACTTCTTTCTATAGATCAAATCAATGCGCCTAGCACCTTTTCACTTCTCCCTATGTCCTCAAACTTCTCCCTGATGGGAGCCGAGGGAGATGTCAGTTCTCCCTAAAAATTTTGGTCCAGCTAGAGCCCTGTGTATATTGAATTTAGTTTAGTTTATTCAAATTTATTTTAGTTTGTGTTGGAAGATATTGAATTTCCTACCTGTTCTTTTCCTAGTAATTTGAAGTGGTGTATATCTTTTAATAGAGAACCTTCACAACCAACTGCCAAAATAAACAAGAATGAACATATAAATATGAACAAGAATGTAATTAAAGTTTTCCAATGAAAATTCAATAAAAACAAGCAATTATCATAGTATTGCAAGCAATCCATAAGTCCCCTACCGGTAAGAGCCCAAGCAACATTCTGAAGGGCCATTGGCAGTTCACTTAGGTTCCTATTTTAAGTAAATTTGTTGAAAAAGTTCTTTAAAAGTGATCACAGGAAACAGTTTTTATGTACAGACAGACGGACTGAAAGACACTCTAAAGTTATTCTTTAAACATCCCTGTTATCAAAATATAACATTTTTAAACTCCTATCATGATTGAAGAAGTTGGAGTAAAAATTACCAATTTCTCAAAAAAAAGTCTAAGTTCAAAAGGGGCATAATTCTGGAAATAGTCTTGCTAGAGTATTGAACACTCACAAATGTTGAGTGATAATAAGAAACATTTATATGAAGTTTGAAGTAGATACATTCAGAAAAAGAAGTTATTAAAAAAACAATGTTTTTTTCATGAAAATTTTAAGTTCAAGGGAGGTAATTCTGATAAATTTTGTGCTAGAGTTGTAAACCTTGTCACATATGATGTGGTTGATGACAAGCAACTTATATTTAAAGTTTGAAGAAAATACCTTAAGAAATAAAGAACTTCTAGTGAAAAAACTTAAAACTAGAATCAGAAATCTTGAAATTCAGTCTATTTGTTGCCATAGCAACCAGAATTTTCAACATAGGAAGATAAGAAAAGGATGTGCATAATTTCCATACTGCCATCTACCCATATGTCAAGTTTCATAAACATATTTTCAGTACTTTTTGTGTTATCACTGGATCCAGGTAATGTGTAAAATTTGCCATATTTTCAGTCTATTTGTTGCCATAGCAACCAAAATTTTCAACATAGGAAGAAAAAAAAAAGACGTGCATAATCTCCATACTGCCATCTATCCATATATCAAGTTTCATAAAAATATTTTCAGTACTTTTTGCGTTATCCCGGGATCCAGGTTATGTGTAAAATTTGCCATATTTTCAGTCTATTTGTTGCCATAGCAACCAGAATTTTCAACATAGGAAGAAAAGAAAAAGACGTGCATAATCTCCATACTGCCATCTATCCATATATCAAGTTTCATTAAAATATTTTCAGTACTTTTTGAGTTATCGCGGGATCCAGTTTTGTGGACGGACGGACTGACAGACGGACGGACAGACGAAGGGTAAACCTAAAGTCCCCTCCGGTAAACCGGTAGGGGACTAATAACAATGCATGTAATTATCTTTACACATCTAACATTGTTATATATTTAACACATTTTTTTCTGTAATAAGTGGCACCTATGTAGCTAAGAGCAAATGTTAACCTTTCTGCATTTAATATAATTCATGTAACGGAGTATCCAATGTTAGGAATTTCTACGAAAAATCTCTGATCTAGTGAGAAATATAACAAACATCAATATCCAATTCTAAGGAATATAACAAATGAGCCGCATCACGACAAAACCAACGTAATGGCTTTGCGACCAGCATGGATCCAGACCAGCCTGCGCATCCGCGCAGTCTGATCAGGATCCATGCTGTTCGCCATCAGTTTCTCTACTTGTAATAGGGTTTGTAAGCGAACAGCATGGATCCTGATCAGACTGCATGGATGTGCAGGCTGGTCTGGATCCATGCTGGTCGCAAACCCATTATGTTGGTTTTGTTGTGACGCGGCTCAAATGTAAACAACTTACCTGGACAATGTAGGGAGTATCCAATATTTGGATCTTCTACAAAAGATCTCTGATCTAGTGACACTTGAGCATAAGATTTAAAACAGTCTATACACATCACATGTTTATCTGGACAAGGATAAACCATCACGGGAGAACTGAAAAAACAAGAGGGCCATGATGGCCGTGAAGACGCTCACCTGTATATAGGCCTGCCCCCCACCCCCTGACAGGGCCAATTTTAACCCAAGGGCTTTTATTTGAACAAACTTGGTAGACACCCATAAGAAGATGTTTCATGCTAAACATCTAAGCTCTAGCTCATTGGGTTTTTTCAAAGAAGTTATTTTAACTTTTTACTATACACATATAGTTAAAAACAATGACACCCCCGGGGCAGGGCCAATTTTGACCCCAGGGCTTTTATTTGAACAAACTTTGTAGACACTCACTAGAAGATGTTTCATGCTTAATATCTAAACTCTAGATATTTGGGTTTTTTCAAAGAAGATTTTTTAAGTTTTTGCTATACACATATAAGGAAAATCAATGACCCCCGGGGCGGGGCCAATTTTGATCCCAGGGCTTTTATTTGAACAAACATGGTAGGCACCCATTAGAACATGTTTCATGCTAAATATCTTAGCTCTAGCTCTTTGAGTTCTTTAAAAGAAGATTTTTAAGTTTTTACTATCTGCATATAGGGAAAATCAATGACCCCCTGGGGCGGGGCCAATTTTGACCCCGGGGCTTTTATTTGAACAAACTTGGTAGACACTCATTAGAAGATGTTTCATGCTAAATATCTTAGCTCTAGCTCTTTGGGTTCTTTAAAAGAAGATTTTTAAGTTTTTACTATATGCATATAGGGAAAATCAATGACCCCCTGGGACGGGGCCAATTTTGACCCCAGGGCTTTTATTTGAACAAACTTGGTAGACATTCACTAGAAGATGTTTCATGCCAAATATCTAAGCTCTAGCTCTTAGGGTTTTTTAAAAGAAGATATTTAAAGTTTTTTTCTTTCTGTTGCCATGGCAACCAGAGTTCTGCATGGAATTAAATTCTTTGAACAATTTTTAAAGGTGACCTCCAAAAGAACATTCCTGTGAAGTTTGGATGAAATTGGCTTAGTGGTTTATGAGGAGATGTCATTTAAAGTAAAAGTTTACGGACGGACGACGGCCGGACGGACGACGACCGGACGCCGGACGAAAAGCAATCACAAAAGCTCACCCTGTCACTTTGTGACAGGTGAGCTAAAAATAAAAACTTTCAAGAGCGAGTTAATTAACCTGAAAAACCTGCTGAAACGCAAAGTGAGCAAGTCATTGCCACCAGTATAGAACCAGGCCAGCCTGCACATCCGTGAAGTCTGACCTGGTTCCATACTGGTGGCTCAACTTGAAATTTAAATCTCGATATCCCCACAAAAAAATGAAAAAGGAAGCTGGACAAGTTTATTTAAGAAATTCAGGAAGGTTAAGGGTTTAGCATAAATCAAATTCACTATTTGTTACTTAAGTACCTGATTATACTATAAACACACACAACAAAATGATATGCCCTAACAATGCTGTAACTGTGACACAATTAATAGGTTCCTTATAAAGCCATGCAGATAACAACACCACCACCGCATGCAGTGTTACAGCTTGTCTGTTAAAAATTCTGAATTAAGAAGGGGCATATCTTAAAAAATATTGCTGGTAGAATAATGCCCCTTGACTAATAACTGCACCTTATCATGATAAGCAAGCAATTCAAGATTGTTGATACCTCTTAAAATGTTTGAATAATTGGCTATATTAAAGTTTTTGCACAACAACAACACGATCATAATACCTTTACAATTTCTTTGAAATAAACAAGCTAAAAGGAAGCAATGCTAAAAGGAAGTGATCAAAACAAAGTATTTAGAACTAATATAAAACATTAATGAGTGTCTTACTGGTAAAGTAATTTCATGTGTCAAGAAAATCAAAATTAAGAATGTAACATTTAGTAATTATAAATAAGAAAGAACAAACATGTTCATCATAAATAATTCATATGCTATGTAGAAATGCTTTTAATTTTTGTACAGAATTATGTACAAGAAAGAACACCTACCATTCTATTGAACAGGTGACACAGTCTATACAATGTCTGTTGGGACGGACATATCTCAATGGTGTACATTCTTCTTCCCCATCATGTTCACAACATTTGAAGTAAAATTGCTGAAAGTATATTACGGTATGTTTGTTCCATTTACAGTACTAACAGCAATTGAAAGTCTTCAATTATTTCATGGGTTTTTGTGGAACTGTCAAAACTGTTTCCCAGATGTATCAGGAATGACATTCGGCCTCTGGCAACAGATCCAAATATCATCCCCGATACCTTGGGATCACAGTTTACTGTTCCACAAACACCAATGAAATAACTGTTTTATTACCTAATACTTTACAATTAAACTACAATATATATTGCAACAACATACAAATAACATTTTTACAACTTTTTAATTATTTACAACTGAAACATAAAGACAAACCACAAGTCTGTACATTGAGCTGAGCGATGTTCGAAGACTGAATAGTAGCGGGCAGCGTAAACGGAAATACCCGATGACATTGACAGAAGTGTAACATTTAAAAATGTTGAGCAGTCTACAGTTCATTACTTCATTGCCCATGTCAGAGATTTCAGCAGTTCAATTAAACAGCTGTATATATGGAATTAGCATTATACAAGGCATAAGGTAATAATACAATCATCATCTTATAGATCATTAAGAAATAACACTCATGACTTTCAACTGTTTAAGTGGCTTACATTGATAACAGGATCTGATTCCATCTTAGAACTCACAGGTTAAAGCCCTATACACTGTGCTCTAGATAAGATATTGATTAAATAAAATTTCACTACAAGGTTTTCTTAAGCTAATTTGATTTGCACTCATTCAAAATTCAAAAGGTTTTTTCACATAGATTCCTGCTCAACTACATTTCTAAGGTAAAATGATTTATTCTTTAAATTTCTCTTAACTAAAAATGACACCAAATAGGAGTTAAGTACATGTGTTTCATTAATGTCATACTTCATTTTAGAGACAAATTCAGCATGCCCTTCATACTGCCGCAGAATTTAATAGTTACTAAATTTAAAGGTGCAGTGTTTTAACACAGGTGTGTCGACTAATTCTGTGGCTATATATTTCACATAAACTAAAATCAATGGTAGCTAAATTACAATTAGTTTTTAGCAATTTCAGTATGTTTTTATAGGACAGATGTCAAATTTCGATTCGCTTTTCTGAAAAATCAATAGGTAAAAGCAATTAAATGATGCTTATCTAGATAAAATTTATAATTAATGTACAAACATGTTACAATCAAGCACATCCAGCTGTCACTATAATTTCTTCAGTTCTAGGAAATAAACTCAATGATGAGTTCCGTGAATTAAGTTGATTCTCTTATACCATACATGTATGTCAATATATTATCTTAACCTGCTGATTTTGTGTAATGGATATTTGTTTAGACACAAAGTCATCAAAAGTTAAGGAATTTCAGCATCAAAATACAAAAATTGACCTACCACCAGTAAAGAACCTGGTAAGGTTTTATACTGGGTTTCTAAACTGCTGGCAAAGGTTGATCACATTCAATTCCAACTAATTAAGGTTAATCAACAAAATTTGAAGAAGAAAAAAACACTCCATCAAGAATTTAATAAATTAGAGCCTACTGCAAAATCATTATTATTCATGGGGCACTAACTTGAATCTTTTCATGGGAAGGTCAATTTATTAATTTTATATCCAACAAATTTCATTTTGTTGAATGTAAAATCATTACATTATTTGCATTTGTTTAAAAACATAGACAATCCACAAATTTAAGAAGCAAAAAAAATGTCTTTTGTGACAAAACCACAAAACTTCATGCATACAAAATCAAATGACTTTACTGTATATCCACAGTTTTGCACCACACAGTCTTCAACAAATAATTTTTGAGCAAGATGAAATTATGTTAAGCAATTATAAACACTCAATCTTAACAAGGATGCAAATAGGATTTTACAACAAACTTTAGTACAATTCAAATATCACCATGATAATAAACATAAACTATCACTAAATTACATTATTTTCAGTACAAGAGTGGTTTTGGGAGTAGAAGACAGGGGTAATATATACTAGGACTTACAGCAATAGTGGTATCATCACAGGTGGTACAGTGACCATTCAATCTCCCTGCAACAAGGACATCATCCCAGTTACTTGGTTCCTAGCAATATAAAACATTTCAATGCTGATATATTTTATTTTGTTTTCTTTTCAAACTAGATGCCCAAGGGCAACATGTTGAGCCCGCTGTTACATCTGACCTTGACTTTTGACCTAGTCAAACTGTTCTTGTGCATGACATGGCGCCTCATGATATTGAACATTTGTGCCTGGTTTTTGAAATTCCACCAGCTAGTGATAGATTTATGGTGCGGAAAAGCTGTTTGAGACTATTTTTTGGCATTTGACCTGTAAGTAAGACCTTGACCTTCGATCTAGCCACAAGGTTCTTGCGCGCGACATGCAATCTCATGATTTTGAACATTTGATGATTTTTTGTTCTTTTTTTTTTTTTGATTGGGTTTTACATCACATCAACACAGTATAGGTCATATCACTACATTCCAGCTTTACTGGTAGAGGAAGACCTCAGGTGCCCTTCCGTGCATTATTTCAGGCATGAACGGGCACCTGAGTAGAACCACCGACGTTCCGTAAGCTAGCTGGATAGCTTCCTCACATGAAAGAATCCAAAGTCCCTGTCGGGATTCGAACCCACAGCAGTGAGGGGAAAGTGGTTTGAAGTCAACAACCTTAACCACTCGGCCATGGACTCCCCACATTTGATGATTTTGAACATTTGTGCCAGATTATTTGAAATTCCACCTGCTAGTGATAGGGTTCTGGTTTGGGGCCATTATTTTTTGCATTTGACCTTAAAGTATGACCTTGACCTTTGGCCTAGCCACACGGTTCTTGCACATGACACACCGTCTCATTATAATTATTTTGAGCATTTGTGCAGTTATTTGAAATGCTGCCTACTAAAGACAGAGTTACGACCTGGACAAGCATAATCTGGAAGGTAGTAAGACCTAGCCACAATGTTCTTGCACCCGACACGCCATCTCATGATGATGAACATCTGGGCTAGGTTATTAGAAATTCCACCAGCTAGTGATAGAGTTATGGTACGGACAAGCTGTTTGAGACCATTTTTTTTGCATTTGAAGTATGGCATTGACCTTTGACCTAGCCACACGGTTCTTGCGCACGACATGCCGTCTCATTATTGTGAACATTTGTGACAAGTTATTTGAAATTCTACCAACTAATGACGAGAGTTACAGCCCAGACAAGCATAATCCGGATGGATGTACACATGCACATACACCGGACCTCCATTGTGACAACTATGTTGAGCTCTCAACAAGTGGGTTTGACAATAATTATGCAAGGAAAATCAGTATTATCAGAAAATGCCATGTTTTAAACTGTATAAATAAGAGGAGATATTTCCCATATACGAAATAGCACAATATCTTAACTCATCGTACAATTAGTAAGACTACAACAAAATATGCTAAGCTTTCTTAACAGAATATTGCACATGCAAAAATTTAATGCAAATGGTTAAAACTCTACAAAATATTAACTAGTAAAATATTTTGATAAAGAAATATTTTTTCTTCTGTTTTAAAATAATATTCATGTCTGTTGAATAAAAGAGACATTCTACGTCACTGAAAATTTACCATAAGAAACCACATCACCTTGTATATGAAAACAACTTAATTTTACCAAAATATTTCAATAGATATAACTATACCTTTTAATAGATTTCACTTAATAATAAAATTACTAATAATAGGTTGAATAGCCAAGGATCATGAAAATTGTTTAAAAAGATTATTTGGTAACCGGGTATTTCTCTCAAACTTATTTTCTAAATGGTCCATTTAATGTATTTCATCACAACTTTTTAATAAATCTGTATTTATGCATACAAGCAATGACCAATACAAAGAGCTATATTGGAAATTTCTAAGTTTTAAATGGAATAATTTCTGTGAAACTTCTGTGAGTTTCGACTAATTGTTAAGATTTACCCCTGCAATCTAAAAAACTTTTAACTAAAAATCTTACAAATTCTCAAAGGGTATAATTCAATCACAATCCATTATAGAGTTGTTATAGCTTACACTTGTATGGCACAATTTTTAAATTTATTTTTAACATTTGAAAATGTACAATTAAAACGAAAATATATATTAAATACCTTGTCTAGTAAAATTGAGCCCTGCATGCAGTTAACACAACGAACTCGTAATTTGCCCGGGTATAATCCGCAGCATGTCTTACAGTACACGTAATACTGGTATCTCTTGTTTACTGCTGTAATCAATTTCTCAATTAAAATACACACTGCATAACAAACGTTTAAATTCATAATTATACAAAGCTAATTTTCAAACAAATGTAACATGTTTGTATTTCTATGGAAACAGAAAAAAAAACTTTATGTTTTAACAACACACTGCTACATACACCTTCAGATTTTGTCATTTCATCTGATAACACTAAAACGAAACAATATTTTGTAGGGAGTTTCCATTTAGAATCAGGTAACATCTGTTGTATATGTCGTAGGATTCAAAAGATCAATTTCCACGAAATACAAAAACTATAATTATATATATTATTAAAGCAGCAGGCCTCCAGGTTCTTGCTTATTTTCATGAATATTTTAAAGTTGTATTAAAAAGTAAAATACTGTCAAACAAACCAAGAAAGTGATTTACACATTGCAAACAGCACTTAAAATCTACAAAAATTACCAAAAATAGGTCATAATATGGAAAAGTAATCCTTACTGCTTTAGTCACTCAGTACAAATACCGGTATGGTGATAGGTAATGCAAAATCTGTCATTAAACACATAATATTATAACATGTAAATTCTTACTTGAATCTTACATCATTTTATTTTTCTCAAAATCTTTGTACATTTTACTTATAATATGAAATATGATAAACAAGACCAACAAGGAAAGTTCATTTTTCTTTAAATATTTTGGTTCATCTGCAGGCATGCAGCTTTAAAGTACATGTACATAACACTGAATGTCACGTTATTGATACATGTATTTATATTCAGAAAATTCTCTATCAAATGATGTTTGGATACATTGTATGAATATTCATTAGATAAATGCAACAATGTTTACTTAGCCTGCTTTTGAAATGTGTAATGTCCATCATTAAACCTATAAATCTACCACTCATGTTTTTTAAGTGTTTTATAAAATTAAATGTCATCAAAAGATGAAATTATACCACAAGTTGTATATACTTACATAAAGCTAAATAATAAATACATATCTTGCTCCTAGAAATAATAGCTTTAATTTAATTTTAAACTGCTGAATTTGGTTAAATGGTGCCAGGGGGTATAGATTTAAAGGATTCAAAAATTATTCAATATTACAGTACTAAAGTAGTCTTAATTAAAAACCCAGCAGTATTATATATCAAACTGCATTTCAATATTGCAGTCATACCTGACTCTACAAATGAAATATGTTTGTAATCACTGCTGCTTAAATTTGGACAGTTTATGAACTGAAACATATTTTATCATCTCCAAACTATTTTTTTCTTTTGCTTCAGGGTTTCCAACATTTTTTTACAAGCGCATTTTGATCCACCTGTATGTCCTTCCATGTTCATTAAAGGTTAAATAAAATTCTCATAAAACTGTCATTTAAACTGAATTTTTTTTTCTTCAAACTTCATAGAAATTCATTTCAATAAGTATAAAACTAACCTGATCTGCTACTATTCTGTCTCACTGACAACAATGACTCTGACTGTGCCGCAGACCCAACTCTATACAAGTGAAGAACACTACCTTGACCGAGATTCAAGTCCTGAAAAAAAACCAACAGGAAAATGATTGCTTTTATTATAATATCTTGATGTCAATTTACAAAAATAATTCTTTTACATGGAAAAATAAACTCTGATAAATCTCAGTTTTTGATTTGTTCACTTGAGTGAGTAGCATATGACTTTCATTTCTTTTTTTTTTTCATCAAATAAACAAAACATCCACTACAGAAGCATTCAGCATATTTTAAATGCTTGTAGCACATATCACAAAAACATTGTTAAATGTCACAACCAATGACCCTCAGTTCGCCATTTAGGTACAGAAATATGTGTAGCATAACAATTCTAACATTTACATCCTTTCATGTTCACTGGTTGATCATCTAATGACTCATCTCTGACTTATAGACATTGCTTACAGAGGCAATTTTCAGAAGACCTTCACTTCAACCTATACGTTATTGCTTTAGCACGGGCATTCATCAACTGTCATTCAAATTTTAGATGAGGGGTAGTTTTTCAACTTGAGAAATTTCTCAAATTTCCCTGAATGCTCCACAATTTTCCCCCATTTCAAACTTAAAATAACTAAAAAAAAGCCCTGATATAACTAAAATGTTTGCTATTGGTATAATGTATGAAAGAAACTGACATTGATGTATTATCCCATTATGACACTGAGATCCAAGTACTGTGTTACGATGACCTTTGGACTGCCAAACTGGCTCTAATGCACTACATATGCTGCATACACATTTATGCAAAGTTATTTCCAAATCACTCTCGGACACAACCATTCATGCACTTTTGAGAAATATTATGTTTGAAATCTAAGTGTGACCCTGAACATGAGCTACAAACCTGTGTCTTGATTGCAACACATTTTTGGAAATGACAAGAAAACATTAATTCAATGAGATTCAATTTAACCCATCAATAAAAGGCTATGTCAATTTAACCCATCAATAAAGGTTATCTATCTATTCTGTATTGAAACTGCATCACACTCTTTCAAGTATTTTGTGCAGATGTAGTGATTGCATGTCAGTGTAAGGCATTAAATGAAAAAAAAAATGTATTTGTGAGAAATTCATAACAAATTGATAAAGTTAATAAAAAGTTAGTTATACAGGTAAAATGTTAAGAACGCTCAGAACTAATGGGATAGTTCAGTTACCCCTTGCCAAAACTGATCCAGGGTAGGGGCTTGTACAACATTGGCCAGAGGAGAATTTTAATGTATGATGGTTGCTGGGTGAAAAGAATGCCAAATCTTTCACTTTGAGAGTGAAACATCTTGATGTGAATCTTCTTGGGAGTGAAACATCTGTCTACTGGTAAAAATTGACTTATACGTTGCATGGAGTATACATTTAGTCTGTACGAAAGGGAATCTTGTGTCTAGTGAGCCGGGTAGGAGTTGTAACATAAGGAGGCATTTGTGCTGCAACCACTTCATGAACAATCATATATCTTACATCAGTAGCCTGGTATCAATCCTTCTGAATAAAAGGGAATGCATGTTTGTGACACTGTTACCCTTTTATTTAGTCAAAAATAGCACATAGCTGTTCTACCAACAACCAGTAGTTCTACTTGCTACCAGTGTAAGGATGTGTAGATAATTGCCATTAGGTAAACAAGAACTGTCCAAGGAGCAGCGCCCTAAAACCAAGTAAATAGCTTTAATAGTTTCTGTGAAAATTGACCTTTATCTATTATATATTAAAGGTCACAATGACCTTCATCTTTTGATCTCATAATAAATGTGACATGTAGAATAAAGTGTTTGTTTGTTTGTTTGTTTCATTTAACGCCTTTTCCAAACAGTATTTCAGTCATATAGGCGGGTAGTTTCCTAACCATCGTTCCTGGAGAGTTACACCAGTACTAGACTACATTCCTTCGCCCTTAACTACCAAAGCATCTCCCGGGGATCGAACCCACGCCAGAGAGGTAACTGGATTAGAAGTCATCGACTCTAACACCTAGACCACGGAGGCGGTTAGAATAAAATGTATCCACATATGAAGTTTCAATGTTATAGCTTAGTAGTATTGTTAAAGACATAAATGAAAACTTCACCAAAAAGGTTAACAGACACAAACAAGTGGGTCATGCCAATACTTCATTTTCTTTCTTAGAAAAGTGGACGCAATAATCCTTGATAGTACCTGCACTGCTATTTAAACTGTCCAGGGAGAGAACCAATTGCAAAATAATATTAAAACTTTCACATTCTTACTCCATTTACAAAATGTTTCAACAAATTCAAACATGGCCCTCGACTTTGTCATATTCAAATGCATCATGCATAGAACGTGAAAACCAGTCTGTCTCTAGTGGGAAGCATTTGGAAATATGCTGGTTACCATCAGGGTCTTTCTAATTGATTTGAAATACACTTAACAAATCTTATAAGATTGCACCTTTTATGTCATTATAACTTTTTCGTTCATCAATATTTCTTAACAAAATTTTGTGTTCTGAGTATTTCCACACTTTTCCTGTGCTCAAGCTTGTCAAATTTAATTATGCAGCGCATTCAACCATGAACGTACAAAATTCACACAATGCACGAAAAAATTGTGTGAATGCATGAAAGAAAATTGAACATGATATTCTCGGATACAACAGAGATCCACATATCAGAAAAACATAACATAAATTAGGTACATTATCTATTCTACAGCATGGCATAGCCCTAGGATTGGTCAATGTTGAGTACACCAAGTAGAGATTGGTAAAAAATAATTTGTTTAATTCCTTTGCATTGTAAAAGCTGAAAATCATTTAAATTCAGTTTCTACCAAAGAGGAACATATATGCATATTTGGTTTTTACTTATTACATGTCTATATCATTTGAAGGTTGCGCAACGCATGGTGTTCACCGCAATGTAATAACAAGGCTTAAGAAGTCTTATTTTCATAACAAAGTAACTGGCAGCGTTGATAACATTCCTCGCCGACCCAAAAATGATCTCCAACGGTATGTTAGATCGATGTGACGACGTTCCAAGGCTGTAATGCGCAGTCAGAGTGGCACGCACGGTATCAGAACATCATTTTGCAACATCGACTTTCAACACGCACTCACATTTTTTTAGAAATACATCTTAAAACTTATCTTGAATGAAAAAGGAAAACCAATAAAAATGATAACCTGTCTATTTTCTGTATTTATTGAAAATTTCAGCATGATCGGGCAAATATTGATACCCCTATGAGACCATTTATGCATGCACACTTTTAAGATTTGTTAAGTGTACACTGTGCCTACATTCAAAGTGCACTGCATTAGAGAACGGCAAAGCTGAGAGCCACTTTTGAATTTGTTGCAAGATTTTGTAAATGGAGAAAAATATTTATTCTGAATATTGAGTGCTTTACATCAACAATGAAGCTTAAAATTGACCATGATCGTGGAAAATAATATATACCATGTGCATGCATGGTCAAAATGATTATGTGACAATATATACTGTGCTCCTCTTAGTTCACGGTACTTAACGCTTTGAAGCAAGAAAGAAAACAACACATAAAACTTATGGTACAAAAATTGTCATAAGCTGTAACATATAGGTATTTTCTGCTGTATGACACAAGGAAACAACAATATATTTAGTCAAAATCAGTTTAAATGAGCCAGACGTAGACCATATGTCGGCCATTTTGAAAACAGTATGTCATCATTTAAATCGCGGTAATGGTGTTTTATTTCAGTTTTTTCATGTTTCAGTTAAAATTTCTACATGTTATTTTGCATAATTTTAAATATTAAAAGTATCTTTACATTGTAACTCAAAATTTATTTTTTCAACAAACAAGAACATTTAGAAAATGATGATTGTTTCAGACATATGCACAAATTTAACGGACTATTGTTGCTTTTTGCAGAAGTTTGTAAAATGTTGTTCTGTTTTACATAAAAATCTATAGATTTAAAATATTTTGCACAAAAACTTTGTTGTTTAGGTGTTTAAATAAAATATGTCAATTCTGACCAATTTTAACACTGGTCACATAGAAATATGCCATTACCGTGAAATAAGTGATGACGCTGATTTAGTGACATTGAGTATATATACAAATGTATGCAAGGGAATAACTTGCAAGGCGATTTTGAGGGTATGCTGATTTTTTCAAGCAAACATTTTTATTTTATTCTTCATTTACATTAAATTATCTAATGAGGGTTGACAAATATACAATTAATTTAGATTTGAATGCATTTGGAGCTCCACGCCCCTAGTGTGGTGTAAAAAGTTTTAGCACCTTCAAGGACGTGTCCACTGGCAGGAGCTTTCCACAGAAAAGCAAATCAAATTCGTCTGTATTCATGCCAGTTTTCTTGCAGAGCTCATTTTTAACATCAAGAATGCAATTTGCTTGAGATATGTCAATGACTTGCTGCTTATTTTTCGCCAGCTGAATATTAACTGAAGTTGACATTTTCCTAAATAAACATGGCTAACTTAACGCGGGAAAAGGGACAAGTTGGTTGTAAAATTCTTATGATTTATGTCTCCAAAGCAAACGACAAAATATTTACACAAAACTCTTAATAATTGATATAAAATCATTCTATTCTATTTTTTAATCTCTCATTCGTAGGTAATTTAATAATTAAAAAAAAAAGAATTTATTGCTTGTCCCTCCGAACGTAGATCCGTCCAAGGTTGAAAAATATGAGATTCATACGCCATTTATTTTCACATCTTAATTATATCTTATATTTAATGTTCATTTCATAAAATAGTCTTGTGTCTTTATATAACAGGAAATTAGATGTTAAAATTTGTATGTAGATGAGTAACTCCTTTTCTTTTCTGGACTATTTTGTGTGCAGTTCTATCTGAAAATTTATGTAAACAAAGATGGCCGTCTTTCGCAACCTTCAGAAAACTTTTCTACAATTTGAGAAGAATTTAGTGTCACCAGTGGCTCTTTATCATAAAAATGTAAATATTTCAATACTAATGTAAATCTTGTTCCAGACTTGTTGTCAACAGTAATTTTACTCGGACAAATATTTCAATCTCCTCTATTTATTTTCAGAAGAATCGTACTTTTAACTTTTCGTACACGTGCAATGTTCTAGAAAATTTAATTTAGTTGTTAAAAGAAAAAGTAACGAAATAAGATCAGCCATGATTAATGTATTTTTTAAATATATAGTTATATCTTTATATTACCTGACATCACAGACTTAAATTACATAGGAGCAAGAATTGATATTAATTAAACTTATGTAGATCTATTTATATTTATCTGCAAAAATTATGCTACTCCTTAGCACAGATATATATATATATACAAAGGATAGGAAGCTCCAAAATAGACGACATTCAGATTCAGAACCACAATCCTTTGTGGGCTTTGGTGATAATCAGGTTTTCCCCCTAATCTCTGATTTTCGTGCTCTCTTTCAACGTTGGCGATATCCGTGAATTATTGTTTACATTGCCGACATGGATTTCCATCAGAGAAATATTTGTGAGGAAAAGTGTGTATTGTACATTTTAGAATAAATACAGATATATATACATCGGATAGGAAGCTCCGAAAATGTATGATAGTCAGATGATCATGAAGACCCACAGTCCTTTCCGCGCTTCGGTGATAATCAGGTTTTCCAGCTAGTCTTCGCTTTTCGCGCTCTCATTTAATTTCGACAATGAATTGTTGTTTACATTCCCATCGGAGAAATATTTGTGTGGAAAAGTGTATGTTGACAGTAGGTTTTAGAATAAATAACTATTGCTTCTTATATAAGTATAAAATGCTTCGTCTTTTTTGTCATGTACCCTCAGGAATTCGATATGGCAGTATTTTGGCTACTTTTACCCAGGATGCATCAAATCTCGCAAAATCCCGCGACATATGATAACTTACGTGAACACAATGCCGCCAATACTGAATTTAACTGTGTGACATCACTGTTTCTTCTCAATCTATATTTAGCTCCATGTCCTTACATATGATAAGAAGTTACATTTAGGTGGCCAATAAAAGATTAGTTAAAGGATACATTGCTAATTCAATTAATTAGTTCATGTAAAGGAAATACTTCTCATTTTAGGTGATTGATCATTATGAGAACCCTCGCAATGTTGGATCCTTGGATAAAAATGACAAGAATGTTGGCACAGGTCTAGTGGGAGCACCAGCATGTGGGGATGTCATGAAACTGCAGGTAAATGTGCTCATGTTACTTCTTGCTTAGATTTTATTTGCCACATACCTGCACAATTTCTAGCCTGTCTGTTTGGAAGAAAAGGACAAAGTATAACGACAACTGCTGCATCATTGTCATGCAAAAACTTTAATTTATGCCATTACTCTAATAATTTTAAAGGTATCAATATGACACTTGGAATACCTGCTTAATGTGACAAGAGACAGTTACAAGTAAGACAAGAGGCATAATTCTGAAAACTATATTTTTGAAGTTATGCCCCCTTTTAACTTGGATTTTTGTCAAAAGTGATTATTTTAACAGGAAAGCGTTTACACAGCATGATGTACTCTGTTGTAATGTGAATTTTGAGCAGTCAATTCAAAGTTTCAGGGAAATCAATATCAAAATACAAAAACTGAGTTAACAATTAACAACAATACAGAGCTTAATCAGACTGCATGAACATGCAGGCTCGCCTGATCTATACTGATGACCAAGGCCTTATCACTTTTTGCTAAATAAGCTTAAGTTTAAGTTAAGGGAATAAATGAATTTAAATAATGAATCCATATGAAATATCAAAGATTATTAGATAGTTTTTAAATGATTGAAGAGTTTAAGATTTTTTTATATTAGTATTTTTTGTTTATTTTAAAATAAATACTTAATTTTGTACTCTCAATATTTAATTATACATGTACTGCCTGGCCTTTGTATTATGATACAGTCATGCAGTATATCTAAATTAAACCTCATTGAAGTACCATTCATGTACTTGACTACGCTCCCTTCGCAGCTCACTGAATACACTCACATTACTTCAGACAGTGAGCAATAGTGGAACATTCAACCGATGCGCAGGAGAGTAGTACTTGATATATCACATCTAAACCATGCTCACATAAACATACGAATTCATAATAGTGATTTCATAAACTTGATTTAGTACTACTCTTATTTAAAGAAATATGTGTATGAGTATTCAATCTGTAAGAAATTATAGAAATCAAATATTTTAGGAAAATAAACAATGTGCACAGTATTTATATTATTATTATTGTAAGATGGAAGTAATATATTTCAGGTTAAAGTTGATGAGAATGGGAAGATTGTTGAAGCGAAGTTTAAGACGTTTGGCTGTGGATCAGCCATAGCCTCTAGTTCCTTGGCAACAGAATGGGTAAAGGGCAAAAATGTAAGTTCCTATTGCTGATGAATATTGATATACTATTAATTCACGACCCATGAAAAATATGTTGTCACAAGCACAACACAAACATTTAATTCTTGTTTTGGTTTAAACATTATTTTTATTCTAGAACATGTTTACATACATGGCATTTACAATAAATACAAAAATGGATTAGACTGGAAGCAGCCTTCTGCTTAATGAAGACTTTTTCCAATGTATAATAAGTAAAAGTACAAGATAAGGCGAGTATTAAATGTGTTATTTCTTGATGAAGAAGGCTGTTGTGTTTTATCTAACATCGAAAAATAAGAAGATACTGAGCCATGTAAGATACATAAATATTAATAAATTGTTGTTTGAATGTTGTTTGTTCAGAAACTTATCGTAGTCTTACTGAAAAATAGGGATTATTTTGTTATTTTCTTCCAGTGCAGAATTATCAGAAAAAAAGGAAATTTACTTTCATATTTCATTACTGTCACTGAAAAACTTTAAAAAATGTAGTTCAATATTGTGACAGTTAGTCTAGTAAAAGGCATGTTATAAATAATTGTTATACTGTTTTCAATGTCAAATTTTCTGTCACAGGTTACAGAGGCTGCTGGGATAAAGAACACAGATATTGCCAAGGAATTATCATTACCCCCAGTGAAGCTGCATTGTTCAAGTATGTATGAAATATAATATTATGTGGACTCTTAGAGGGATCATTATACTAAGTGTGGGTAGAAGGGCTATATAGAGAATATCTTTCTCCAGTCCCGACCATATCAGATACATGTTTTAACCTAGAACTGGAAAACTATTAAAGAGTTACAAAAGAGCTCAATAAGTCAAATTTTATTACTCTTTATCAGCTCTTCCGTTAATAGAAGTTTTGGAGTCATTTTACTCCTTGATTTTGGCTTGTGACTTCCAAAATCTAATACTTTTCCATCTTTACCTATATAATGTGACTTCCTATATCAGAGATTTTACAGTCTCTGACTTCCAAATTTTGAAACTTAATGGAAGCCCTGTCTTAAATGTACTTAACTTATTATCATAAAAGTAATTCCCTTTCCATCAAGACATATGTGGTTTGGAAGACAAATAAGTCACATCCAGGGATAGTTCTAGTTTCATTTGGACTTAAATAAAACAAACCTAGGGAAGTGTCTTTAAACACCTCCTTTGAAAGCTAGAAAGTCATGAAAGTTGACAAAATTTATAATGGGCAGGCCATGCGTCATGTTGAGAGATATGTGATGGTAGTATTTCATTGAAAAGAAGAAACATCATGTGATGCAGATAAATCTCAGATTTACATTGAATTGCATACTATAGATGAAATATCATAATGACATGTGTCTATATGTTACCTACCAATTTTTGTGTTGCCTGCTACAGAGTAGCGACTGCATGTAGGGATCACTTATCCGCATCTAGCTGTCCATCACAAAACTTGTCCGGACTACTTCTCAAAACCTACTGTTTTTATTTCATACAAACTTAAAAACAATGATCAATAACAAGTCCTGTTGTGACTGTCTTTTGCATTTGCCAGTTCAATGATTTTGTCAGAGTTATGGCCCTTTAATGATTTTATTTTTAAAATTTGTTCAGACTACTACACTTATACAACTAACAATATTTTAATGAAATTTCACAGAAATGATTGATACACCTGACCAAGTACTTGAGCATATTTAAAGGATTTTAAAGTTGAATGATTTTCAGCTGAGTTATCATATGGCCTTTGAATAAAAAAGGCAGTATGGTCTGTTATTTTACCTGCTACACAGGAGCTGCCATGTACATGCTGCTGTAGTACCTGCGACATATAGGAACCATATTGTCCAATTACCCTTCAATACAACTGTTGAATTAGCTATCATCAGGCAACACATTATGATCACTGAACGGTCGTATTTGTTTAACATTTCTATATTTTTGTGCTTCTTATTTTGCCTGTTAATGATATTTAAAAGCTCTATTTTTTTGGAGGGAGATATGTTGTATATTCAACAAATGTCCTCTGTATATTCCTTGATAGCTGATATTTTTGTACTGTGGGTAATTATTGGTGATGTCCATGGCATAGTGGTTAAGCTGGTTGACTTCAAACTACTTGCCCCTCACCACTGTGGGTTCGAATCCCAACATGGTCTTAAAATTTTTTCATGTGAGAAAACTATCCAGCAAGCTTACAGAATGTTGGTGGTTGTACTGAGGTGCCCTTTCATTTCTTCACTAGTAAAGCTGGAACGTCGCCATGGTTATGACCTATAATGTGTTAAAGTGACATAAAACCCAATCAAACAAATTCAGTGATTATTTATCAAAAAAAAAGGAAATCATGAATAAAAGATCTAAATAGAATAGATCTATTCAAAGGATACTTAATGTGATGGCCAATGGTTTCTAGAACATTTTTTAAGTGGAAAACTTCATAGTTTCAATTGGAAACTGCTTGTATTGACATTCATAAATATTGTTTCTTGTATAAAGAACAAAAAGTAGAGCTTAAACCAAAAAGAAAGAAAAATATATACAGGTACTGTACTTCCCACATGTTGTACTTTGAAGTACATGTTCTTTTCATGGGCGGACATCCACATCTCCATCAAATATTTTAGCTGTTTGATTAACAGACCATGTGATAACAAAGAAAAAACTTGGGTTCAGAATCAAAATTAATGATCAAGATTTAATTTTCTTTGCTATATGAAACTAAAATTAATTTAAGCATATTATCTTCAATAATAATGAATTAGTTATATAATTTCATATTAATTTTATGCTATTCCAGTCCACTTTTATTGGTTAATGTTGAATATTAAATTTAAGAGAAATAAAAAAAAAAATGGAGATTTTTTTAAAGTTTAAAATTTTGATCCTCACAGATCTTGATCCTAAATAAGTCATAGTATACACAGTACCCGTAGGCATGCTGTGTTTCAATTTTGTTTTCATAATATGGTGAAAAACTGAATTACATCACTATCTTTTGAGCCAACATATAGCCTTTTTATTTTGTCATCATATGCCACACTTATAGGAAAGTTAATATTCTGTTTCTTTGCAAGCACAATAGATTTGACTCTATAATATGCAGACAGTCTAATGACATCATGTGGGTTGTCTTCAAAGATGTCATCATTTGAATTTTGTCGGCATACATATACTCTCCCTAACCCATCAACAGCCATTCCTGGCATTTGTAGAATGTTGTCATCTCTATATACAAAATCAACCTTTCCATCTAGAGTCAGACTGGTTATAAAGTTATTGCCTATATCAGATACATGCATGATATAAGTCTGTTTGTTGAGGGCAATAAAAAGTGGAAAGAGGAAAAGTTGGTCGCCTGTTGAATCCCTGGTAATATTTCGAATCACCGTTCCATCCAAGGTCATTATATAAATCCCGGGCTCGATTTCAGAATTTGCAATAACTACATACAGTTGGCCGTCCAAGTATTCAATTCCAATTGGTTTACCATTAACTTTTATATTGTTGTCAATTGCCAGTAATACTTCATCACTGTGACGTTCTTTATTGACAGAAATTAACTGAATCTTTTCAACATTTGAAAGTGAAACGGCAATTTTGTTATCCGTAACCTTTGTTACACACCATGGGTCAGATTCTGTGTAGAAAGTTGTTACAAGTCTTTGATCTTTTGTATTAATCACTTTTATTGATTTGTTTTCATTATCAGCAGCTATAAGAAGTGTGTCGGAAAGTATACACATACCATATATAGATGAATTATAATTCTTGTCAAAATTCACAGTGTTTGTTGTTGTTCTGTTATACATGTAGAAGTACCATAGTGTGATCAACAATAATAGAAGAATAACCACCAAGAACACATTTTGAATGATGGTAGATCTTTCTTCTTGGGATAGTATTCCTCGTCCTTCTTGCGCTATATGCTGTGATTTAGGTTCCTCATTTTTCTGTCTGTTTCGTTTCCGTAGAAAATTCTGAGCATTAGATGACCCAAGGTTGTCTTCTTCACCTTTAGCTGCCATTTTACTGATGTCAATTTACTTTGTAAACTATTTTTTGTAAGCTATTGTGGCATCAACTTGTACTTTATCACCTTCAGATTTTTGTTTTCAAATCGCAGTCAACCTAAGCAAAAGTCTGTACTTGCATACAGGAAAACATTTTGATGAGCATTGATTTTAATGTCTGATATCCAACAACTTGACAGGAATCTGCCTGTAAAGTTAGTTAGTGATGGCTTATTTTCCTTTCCTTTTCTAATTAGCATGTAAATTTAATTTAATTTCTTTTCTCACTGTTAAGATTCTTCACTGACACATACACTAATGAGGATATAAATCATGTTTTTCCATATTTTTAAACTTTTTAGATGTATTTATGTTTAAATGAATTTCTTTTTTTAAAGTCACAGTTACATGGTTATCCTACTTTTGGTTTATAGTATTTATAGTAAAAGTATAATGGTTGACTGGATCTATTTTTAGATATGCACTATACATACTGGATCAATATTTTAACTTTTATGGTGTACAGAGTCATGCCACAGATTACTGAAGTGTTAATCCAGTATTCTATACACATGTTGGGATGGGATTTTGTATCATTTTGTGAAACTACAATGCTACATGTATGCTTAAAATATCTAACTTCTAATCCTAGAAGTTACATTGCCTTATTGACCTGATATGAATTATGCCCCTTGGTTCAATATTGTCCCCAACCCAGGGGTTACTTGATTTATATTGACTTTGTATATGAAAAACATAGAGCGAGGCCTGCCTTTATTATGTTGGTAGTTCATTTGTTATACATGTTTATCTTTTTATAGAAATTCTTAAGAAGACGCTTAGTAAAGCGAAATATGTAATTGATAAACTGTGTTGGTTTATGAGTCTTTATATCATGTAGAAATTCCTTAACATTTAGCTTGATAGTGGCAACACCTTTTTGACCACTGCCTATCTTTGGCATCTGATCATGTTCTGCACTGTTCAAGTTTCAACCAGTACATACATTGTATTTTGAAATTTTCTCTTAATATGATGGTTTAGTTCCTATTGAAAGACGGACAAATTCATTCAAGATATTTAGCCATTGTAAGGGTTAAAATTTGAATGGATTGTTCCAAAGTCTATTATACATCTTAAAACAATTTAAAAGTTTAAAATATATGATATATAATTGTATATTTTCAGTGTTGGCCGAGGATGCTATCAAGGCAGCTCTGAATGATTGGAAAGTAAAGAACAATAAGTCAGATGGATAATCAAACAGTATTTCCAGACACATGTCTAGAATTTGGAATAGAAAAAAAAGACTTTTACTTTGTGATATTAATTTCAAAAGCTGGTTTTTGCATAATTGAGTTGGGTTTGTTGATAGTCATCATTTTTGTGTTACATTATGTGACCTTTAGAAAAAAATAGGTTTGTTATATTTGCAAGATTTTATGTTAGCAAGATATTTCGATCTTTATACTTATATTTCATCTATAAACTTAAAATTGATTTACATAGGACGATCATTTGGAAGGAAAAAACCTTCTGTAGCTTAATAATAATAATTAAATTTTATCTTATTACCCAGAATATTTACTATAACATTTTACTTTTATTATCCAGTATTTTTGTATAATTTAGTCACTGTGACCCCTTAGAAAAGGTCATATTTTGTGCCCACTTAGTGTATTATGCAACCAAATTAACTTTGTAGCATTGTAACACAAAGCAAATTTTGAAAATGTCTGCAAAGATAATCACTTGTGGTCACATGTTTTTGTGTAATATGTGTTGTCATTGTTAAATTTTACTCCTCAGTGTTACTGTTTTACAAGATTAAAAATAAAGTACATTATACATGTAATTACAAGAAAATTATGATAACAATATACATGTATATACAGTCAAATTAATTTTACTTATATAATAATTTATATAAACCGGTATTCAAGCAGCTTCAGCACACAGCAAATTTTCCTGCATACCAGTCATTGAATTTAAGATTTTGAATTTACTGGACCGAATTCCAGTTTTGAATTTATTCTACTATATATTTAACAAAATTTTCTTAAAATTTACACTGGCCTTAACTAATTTTCACTGGCCAACGGACCAGTGATTAATTCAATGACTGATACCACATTGACCACTGGCCGCATTTGACAATATAACGATAATTAAAACTAGAAAATACTGAATTTTTACTGTGAACCTAGACTCACAGACCAGTAACAGCAAATTGGCCACATAACACACATGAGCACTAGCTCAAGTTAAACTGTATTGGTATAATAACGTTAAGGCAACATTATGCAGTTTATGTGTGAAAGAAAATTTTGTCTTTATGGTTAATTAACCTGAACTTGCTGCACAGTAGTGACAGTAATGACCTTTATTTGAAGTCATGTCTAAATTGGCAAACCCTTAACTGCACTGTCACTTTGTCATATATTTGCATGAGTTGTGGAAAATTTAAAGAATTATTATAATGATGTTACCTGTCACTATATTGAATAAAGTGCAAATTTTAGAAGATATAACCAATCCTTTTTTTCAAGTATGAACAAATAAATTTATGACTTATCCAAAAAGCAGTTAAAGGTGCTTATAACTATGTAAATATTGTGTTGTTAATCATGCATGATTAAATAAATTGAACTCAATAGTTTGGCTTCTTTCATTTAATGTAGTCCAAATATTTTATATATAAAAAACACCACCATTTTGTGATGCCAGATGTTTAAACACCATTTGTCCTATCTTGTTAGGAATTTGCCCTCGCATTTCATTTTGGAGTTATTCTTTACATCAATATAAGGCACAAAGCTATAACCCAAGGTAAAGGGCCTTGAAAAAGCATATGTGGCAAGATCATTCTTTGGATCCTCGATTTTTTTCCTTTTTTATATAGAGTAAATTTCGTAAAAAACAACACCATCTTCTGTAGCCAAGTGTGGATAAGCCATTGCTTTAGTTTGAAGATTTTTCTCTACAGCAAAACCAAACACAAAGCTTTATCCGAAGCAAAATGTCCAATCAGATCATTACATATGATCATTATTGTGTATGTTGGACTGTAATTGTATTAGATGGGAAGAATTTTGTTAGCAGATGTTCAGGTGCCATTGGTTATCATGCATATGATTGTACAATCAAGCATAATATGAGAGCTTGATAAGAACATGATTTAAAAGAGAAAAATTGTTCTGCCTAAAGCCACAAATTTTTGTTGAAATTTTCATTTTTAACATGTACCTCTGCGATTAAACACAAAAAGTTTGGCTTCAAGTAAAATCTGTGAAATTTTTAACATATAAGTCAATGTAAAATTTTGATAAGCTATTGAAATGGCATACAGTCATTTTCTGCTGTCAATCTGAAATAAATTAGCTACCGGTATATATTAATTTCAAGAGTGTTTATTACGACATTATGGAGATTAACCAATAATAACAAGAAGTCCGTTGAGGCAGGGCAACATACGCCCGATGACAAAATTAAAAGGTGTTGTACACATGCCTTTAAAATAACAGCAAATTTATTGCTGTAAAAAGCATAAAATTTAATGATGATTTTTCCGTCAATTGTAAGATGGACCCTTATCCAGATTTAGTCGTACTGAAAGTTAGACGGACAACACCATATTATAATACATCACAGTTTCTTTGGGCATATTAAAACTGTCTAAAATATTAAAGACTGTCTGGACTCTTTATGAATGTCACATGGATTTATTACTACTATAAATATTAAACATTGCTGAAAATCATATGGGTTATTTATCATTTATGTAAAGTACATGTGGAATATAAAATTAAAAGCAATCATATGTCAAAATGCAATTTTTATTTTGACTTTTAAACCTGTATACTTACAAATTATACTTGGGCTGGAATAATGGTACTTCAAAAAGTGTGTTAAAATAATGAAACAAAGATAGAGTACAGTTTTAATTTATTGAATAATAAGACATAAAATCAATCAAATTATAAAGTACAGAATTAGATTCTCATAAAGCAAGGTGCAAATTTCAAATGTCCACCTTAATAGCAAATTTATAAATCATTCAAGAAGATAATTAAGTTAATGTCAAACATTAGGTTTATCAACATTTAAATATTTTTATAATAGAAATTACTTATTCTTTTTGACATACTAACAACCTTAAATATAACGTACATTCAAGATCGAATGCACTATAGGTCAGACCTGGGGTAATCATTAACTGTAATCATTGATTTTGTAATTGATTACACGATTACACTGTAATCATCATGTAATTGATTACCTTGCCCAAAACTGATTACATTAATTGTAATTAATCAATTACAGCTTAAATTCAGTCAGTAATTATGATTACATTTTGATTGACATTGATTACTTTCAGATTTAAAAGGAAACTATTTAAGTTCAAAGGATGCCTTTATTTTACATTATACAGTTTAACTTTTGTTTTTTAGTTATGCAGTAAAAATCCTCAATTAGACTGATAAAAGTGAACATTCTTATCATTGCTTAAATACTTTGAGACCATGGTCTACTTTAGTCATTTTGTATGAATAAACAATATGTTTATTTATATGTATCTACAAATACATTATAAAAGAATGCTTTGATATTTAATCTGATAAAAGGAAAACATATTTCTGGAGAAATTTAACGTTAATTTTACAGTATCACTTATTATATGATGTACATAAATCAAATGAAAATTTAAATTTTCAAAAAATAAATGTGCTGAAAGCAACAATGTACCACTCTAAAATTGACCTTCTCACCTACTTTCATACAATAACCCAATAACAGTTTTTCACACCTTGTGAAATCAAGTGTCATGCTAAAGAGCATTCAAGCAGATCATAACAACAAATTTAAGATCTAGATAGGTGTTCACTTCAATATCAGTGGTCTCAATAGTCACATTAAAATTAAAACAAAAATTTGGACTGACTAATAATAGTGGTCTTAAAAGTGAATAAGCAGGTGGTTAAATCTGGATCATGAAACCATCTTTTTTAAAAAAATGGTCTTAATAGCAGGGTGGTCTTAATTCTGGGGTGGTTTAATGTACATTCAATGTAATCAATTATCAATCAATTACTCTCTTAAAAGTAATTGTAATTCAATTGATTACAGAGGCAAATGTGAGTAATCAATCTTAATCAATTACAATAAAATCTGAAAGTAATTGTAATTTAATCAATTACTGATCAATGTAATCATCCCCAGGTCTGCTATAGGTACCTACAGTCATTGACTTTGATTGACCTGCCCATCACCACTTTGGGTTGGAATCTGTTTGGAGAATTTGGACACTTGAATGTGATGAAGCTATCCAGCTAAGGGGCCAATTCCAACATGAATTAATGCAACAGGTTGGAGGCACCTTATCTTTTACAGTGTTGATTTGACTTTATAACCCAATGAACTAAAAACAAGAAAAACAGTTCTCTGTATGTAACTGGTTTTAAAGTAGCATGCCTCCAGATGAGCGAGAATATTTCAGTAAATTAAACTTAAAAAAAAGTACTAAGATTTTAGGAAAAGTAGAAAAACTCAAGATTCAAGTAATAATTCACATGTTATGAGCGATTAATAGTGAATTTTTCAGTATGTTTAACTATATTTCTACTGTGTTACTTCCATGAAAATAAGCATTAATCTGTATGTGTGCTGCTTTAACACTTCTCATAAATATGCTCCATTTATGTTTTGTTTCCACGGACAGTGATATTTTGATACTTCTGTAAAAGACGGCTTGATTACATGGGAAAATCCAAATCACAATGAAGGTGAAACAAACACAGTGGCCAGCAGATCTACATGTAGATATGAACTTTAGTCAGATTAATATACAAGTATATCAATGTAAATTTATAGCCTGCATTCAACTTTAACTATGAATAACAATTCTTTTTCCTTCACATTCTAATTTCAACCACTGAAAAATCATTGAAACAATATCCTGGATATGGTGTGAAAGAAGGATTATCTTGCAAAGCATAAAAGCATTAGTGATATGTTGCAGAAATATTCTTTTGGTTGACACAAAAATGCCAGAGTGTGCTCATTGAACAGCCCTTAATACTCCTGGTCCGAGGTTATATCGAAATTTTCTAGATCAAACTCAGATTTCAGGTCTTCGATTGATCAGAAACAGAATTTTGCCTGACCAATGAAATTACTGAGATTAGAGTTAGAGACATATCTCAAAAAAAAAGTTTCATAACCTCGAAGTCAGATTAGAATTAACAACCAGTACTAATACAAAATACATAAATCAGAAAAAAATTTCCACAAAGATAGTTAAATATGTAATCATTCTACTGTAATAATTACAACTTGGGTGAAAAAGATAACTTGATCCATAAACTGGTATGTGTCATTACAATAATGATAATAATAATGATGAAATTTGTTATACTCTTAAATACTTCAATATAACTGCCTACCTAAGCAAAATAAATGAAACAAATTGAAAAAAAATAAAGAAAATGAAAACAAAGTAAAAATAAAATGGCAAAAATCATTGCGAAATAAAATCACTTTGCAATAAGCTATATAAATAGGAATTATTGTAATATTTTATCATCCCAAATTCCAAATCATTATACTTAATATATATCTTCTTTCCAAACAATAACAATAATATATATCATGTAATATAGATACAATAGATGCATAAGTTACTTCGTTTCTCCTACACAGTATTATAGAAAAGAGCCACGCCATGACAAAACCAACATAATGCATTTGTGACCAGCATGGATCTAGACCAGTCTGCGCTTCCACGCAGTCTGATCAGGATCCATGCTGTTCGCTTACAAACCCTATAACAAGTAGAGAAACTGATAACGAACAACATGGATCCTGATCAGACTGCACGGATGCGCAGGCTGGTCTGGATCCTTGCTGGTCACAAACCCATTATGTTGGTTTTGTCAAAGTGCAGCTCAAAATACCTTCTCAATGTCAGGGTAGCAGGTTTTATAGTTTCAAGCTGATCTTCTTTATATATGTATTAATCAGTATTCACCTTAGTGCAGTAACGGTTACGTCCTTCAAAAGAGTTATTCAGTTATTGGACAGTGGTGACGTATAATAAATATTCCGCACAATATTAAATATTAACCCACTGAACTAGTGTATCTTTTAAGTTGGAACAGTCCTTTCAAAGTTTAAGGGATTTCGATATGATTATATCAAAATACAAAACTTGAGCTATCAAAAGAATAGAACCTTGCGAAACTGCACAGATATTGCGTACATACATTTAATGGTATAGGTATCAAATAAAAATGCCTATACTTGATTTTCATGAATCATTGTTGAATACTTTTACATTTTCTTTTTGAATCAGACATTTTTCTTCATATTTTCATGACCAGAGTTCTTATAAATCAACTATTTTAGGCCTTAAATTTAAACTCTAAACTTGTTCATTTCCATGATTTGCTCATTATCTTAAGAAAATTTATTCAACTTTTAGCATAATTTGTGCAAACTGAAAGAAATAAAAGAAAAAATTCACAATTTTACATTTCAAAGTCTTTTGTTAAATATGCAACTAAAGATATTGTTACTCAGCATTTATTTTGGAGGCAATACAGTTTCCTAAAATAAAACCTGCTATCCAGTTAAAAATACGTTCAGCACTACATCAGTCTTGTGTTCACAGAAAGTTTTTTTTCAGTCTGCACTCATTTGTAATAAAGCATTTATCGTAGAGTCTTTATTTCCACTATTAGCAACAAAGACAGATCGAATGATGTCATCTTCCATATTTGGAAACATGTCCTTGACCTGTTTGAAATCTTCTTCGGTGAAACCTGGCTGTCTTGGTGCTTGCATCCCCATTGACGCCTGAGGTGGGTACACTGCAAAAGGAACCAAAAATGAAATTATACCAAAAATGGAAAACTCATTTGTGTTATGTGTAACAAGGTTTAAGTGCAATCAAATGTTGGACAAAGCTAATTTCTAACAGGTTCTTAAATAAATATAATAAAACCTTCTGTAACACAACAGAAATGCTGACTATGATACAAACATAACTTATTCTTTTATCCATTTTTTATTTCTTGCTTGCTTTAGGAGTTACATATGAACTGATTCTAGAAAATGAAGGTAAATGAGTAGAATCACCAACCTTTAGTAACACTGCTGGTGATAGATTCCCAGCATGTAAGTACGCAGGACATTTCAAGATTCAAATCTACAGCAGTAATAACCAAGTCATTTCAAGTCACTTATGACAAAACTATTATTTTCAATAATTAAAGTTTGACCTCTAAACTATGGTAATATTGTTATTCATTTACAGATTTCATTCATACTTGGACAAAACAACTCTAATAACACAACCAACATGTTGAATAATTTTGGTATGATCTTGACTTTAATATGATCTTGACTTTAATATGGCCTTGACCATTAAGGTCAATTTAATGAGTTTTGTATGTTTATATTGGTAAGTCTTTTTGATTATTATATTGGATACACTTACGACAAAACAGACACACTGAATTATTCTAAATTGACCTTGACCTAAAAATGAACTTGATTGCCAAAGTCAAGTTGTTGAAGTTTGCTTAAAATGCAATAACTTTGTTATTAATGGACAGATTTAATTCATACAATGCTAATGGCAACATCAACTTGTTAAAGAACATTATTAAAGTATGAACATGATCTATAATTGGTTTAAACTGTCAAGGTCAAATAAGAAAAATTAATCAAGTTATGTACAAAAAGATGATGAAAACCCTTTACCACAATGTTCTGCCTCTGTGTTGTCTATGGAAATGGGAAAAAGTTTAGTATGGCCACAATTTGCATTGGATATCGTTAAAATATCGAACTCTTATAAATCAACAATGGGACATTTCAGTTCCTAAGATGGGCCTGTCCATTACAGAAAATCTGTATGATAAGATTTTATAAAGAAACAAGATATGTTTGTAAAACATGTATGCCCCCTATCAGCAGCCAATTAGTCATGTGATAAGGTTATTATGCATGACTTCTGACCCAGTGATCAAACAATTAATAAGGGTTATAAAGTATCTACTGGTCATGACCTTGACCTTTGACCCCTTGACCCAAAACTCAATAGGGGTCATCTGCTGGTCACGAACAATCATCAAACAAAGTTTGAAGTTCCTAGGCCTAGGCGTTTTTAGTAAATTGATCAGAAACCGTTTTTACCTACAAGGTCAATGTGACCTTGACCTTTGACCCCTTGACCCCAAAATCAATAGGGGTCATCTGCTGGTCATGACCAATCACCAAGCCAAGTTTGAAGTTCTTAGGCCTAAGGGTTCTCTTATTATTGATCGGAAACCGTTTTAACATACAAGGTCAATGTGACCTTGACCTTTGACCCCAAAATCAATAGGGGTCATCTGCTGGTCATGACCAATCACCATGCCAAGTTTGAAGTTTCTAGGCCGAAGCGTTCTTTAGTTATTGATCAGAAACCGTTTTTACTTACAAGGTCATTGTGACCTTGACCTTTGACCCCTTGATCCCAAAATCAATAGGAGTAATCTGCTGGTCATGACAAATCACCATACCAAGTTTGAAGTTCCTAGGCCTAAGCGTTCTAGAATTATTGATCAGAAACCGTTTTTTACTTAAAAGGTCAATGTGACCTTGACCTTTGACCCCTTCACCTAAAACTCAATAGGGGGTCATCTGCTGGTCATGACCAATCATCACACAAAGTTTGAAGTTCCTAGGCCTAAGCATTTTTAGTTAATTGATCGGAAACCGTTTTTACCTACAAGGTCAATGTGACCTTGACCTTTGACCCCTTGACCCCAAAATCAATAGGTCATCTGCTGGTCATGACCAATCACCATACCAAGTTTGAAGTTCCTAGGCATAAGGGTTCTTAAGTTATTGATAGGAAAGCATTTTTACGTACAAGGTCAATGTGACCTTGCCCTTTAACCCCTTAACCCCAAAATCAATAGGGTCATCTGCTGGTCATGAACCAATCACCATACCAAGTTTGAAGTTCCTAGGCCTAAGGGTTCTTTAGTTATTGATCGGAAACCGTTTTTACCTAAGAGGTCAATGTGACCTTGACCTTTGACCCCTAGACCCCAAAATCAATAGGGGTCATCTACTGATCATGACCAATCACCATCTCAAGTTTGAAGTCCCTAGGCCTAAGGGTTCTTTCATTATTGATCGGAAACCGTTTTTACCTACAAGGTCAATGTGACCTTGACCTTTGACCCCTTAACTCCAAAATCAATAGGGGTCATCTGATTAGTCATAACCAATCACCATACCAAGTTTGAAGTTCCTAGGCCTAAGGGTTCTTTTGTTATTGATCAGAAACTGTTTTTAATTAAAAGGTCAATGTGACCTTGACTTTTCACCCCTTGACCCCAAAATCTATACGGGTCATCTACTGATCATGACCAATCACCATACCAAGTTTGAAGTTCCTAGGCCTTAAGGTTCTTTAGTTATTGATCGATAACCGTTTTTACCTACAAGGTCAATGTGACCTTGACCTTTGACCCCTTGACCCCAAAATCAATAGGGGTCATCTACTGATCATGACCAATCACCATACCAAGTTTGATGTTCCTAAGCCTTTAAGGTTCTTTAGTTATTGATCAGAAAACTGTTTTTGCTTTCAAGGTCAATGTGACCTTGACCTTTGACCCCTTGACTCCAAAATCAATAGGGGTCATCTACTGGTTCATGACCAATCACCATCTCAAGTTTGAATTTCCTAGCCTTAAGGTTCTTTAGTTATTGATCGGAAACCGTTTTTGCTTTCAAGTCAATGTGACCTTGACCTTTGACCCCTTGACCCCAAAATCAATAGGGGTCATCTACTGGTCATGACCATCACCATACCAAGTTTGAAGTTCCTAGGCCTTAAGGTTCTTTAGTTATTGATCGGAAACCGTTTTGCTTTCAAGGTCAATGTGACCTTGACCTTTGACCCCTTGACCCCAAAATCAATAGGGGTCATCTACTGGTCATGACCAATCACCATACCAAGTTTGAAGTTCCTAGGCCTAAGGGTTCTTTAGTTATCACTCGGAAACCATTTGGTCTACGGACCGACGGACCGACGGACCGACGGACCGACAAGTGCAAAGCAATATACCCCCTTTTTTTCAAAATGGGGGCATAATAATATAATATCAAACCTCCTGGCATAACAACCCCAGGGTAAGGCTGCATCTGAGGGAAGACCATGGGTGCCTGCATCACAGCTGGTGGGAGGTTTTCTACTGGCTGAAAAAAAGATATATATTTCTATCAATTATAATGTATTGACTTCAAACAAAATTATGCCCTTTTTATTGTGTTCTGCCTTATGCCTGTAGAAGAATTATTATACTACATTTGAATATTACTTTAGCTATTTAGTGTTGATTGAAACACAGATGCCCCTCTCATTATCGGCATGTAAGGTATGGCATATTAAGATGGAAAAAACAAATAATGTATTGAGCCCAAAACCTTCACCCTAAGCTTGTTGGTGATATACCCATGCAACCAGTGCAGACCAAGATCAGGCAGAAGAGAATTTATTTTTAATTTTCCCTAAGAATTAAGAATGGTTTTGTCCAGATTGAAAGATGGATGAGTCCATTTTAGATGGTAAGGGTTATACAACAATTGATAAGTAGTATTCACTGATTTTTAGTATTTAGCACCGTAAATTTTCTGCACAATCTCGATGAATCTAAAGCATATGAATATGCATAAGATGTAAAAGACGTAAAAGGTATTTTTGTATCTCTTTCTAAAGACAAAATCTTTTTTACTCATGTTAGTCTATAATCTTATTTTTCTAAACACTTATTGTCAAAGTATAAATATAAATATTTTTAGTTATGAAGAATTTTGACAGGTTATATGGCTATATATAAATGGTTGATTGGAAATAGCAGCTTGGGTTATATTGCAAACAACTGTTTATATATGGCCATATAACCTGTCAGGAATATTCATAACAAATTTACAATATGCAAACTTCCTTTTTCTATAGAAAAAAGTGACATTTCAGCATAAATTGACAAAAGGACTAGCCATGTCATGATTATCCAATGAAAATCAATGTTATTGTGAAATAAAGAAAAATAAAACTTACAGTAAAAGTTATGACAAGGTTTAAGGTGCCTTCTTTCTCATCACCTTGTTTACCACTGAGTGCAAACCATTCGTCGACTGTTTCCCCACTTAAAGCTGGAGGAGGAATGTTAACATATGCCCACGCTACACGATCATCTGAGGTAAATGATTTCTGAAGAAACAAGATTGCATTTGAGAAAAATGCTATGCCACCGCATTAATACAACACTAAATAGTAGTGTAGAAACAGATTTTTTTGGTTTCTATACAATTTTGAAGATTGCCATAATGCATAGATCCCTGACCTATCTGATTCCTATTATCAGATTAGTGGTTAAATCTGTTGTAAACTCAATAAAAGATTAGAGTAGGAATATATCAATGCACTCGAGTCTAGTGAATTTGGTGGTGAAGGTCATATTTCACACAGCCTAAATTTCATGACTACATCAAAGGACAACACAGTAAGACACTTTGTCAAAATCTAGGTCAGCTGAAATCAAAATTCACTTTACATCTTAATCCATGCACATGGTTCAAATTTCATAGCTGTACATTAAAGGACAAGAAAGTAGGTCACATCATCAAAATCTAGGTCATCTGATATCAAAGTTCAATTTTACAACTAAAACTGTGCACATGGTCAAAATTTCATTGCTGTACATCAAAGGGCAAGAAAGAAGGTCAATGTCCCCTTGGGCAAGGCAAAATTTTGGACCAAAGGGTTTAATTCAAAACAATCTTGATACAGGTCCACCAAACAATTATAATTTGAACAATCTTGGTAAAGGTTCCATATAAGGAAAACCTATAGCCCCCAGGGCGGGGCTAATTTTGCACTAGAGGCAAAATTTGAACAATTTTGGTAGAGTACCTATAGATGAAATCATTTAACAAATATTAAAGCTCTAAGCCTTGTACCTTCAGACAATAAGATTTTTTGATTTTTTACTATATTAAAGTTCAATTTTACAACTAAAACTGTGCACATGGTCAAAATTTCATTGCTGTACATCAAAGGACAAGAAAGTAGGTCACTGTCCCCTTAGGCAAGGCAAAATTTTGGACCAAAGGGTTTAATTCAAAGCAATCTTGATACAGGTCCACCAAACAATTATAATTTGAACATTATCTTGGTAAAGGTTCCATATAAGAAAAACCTATAGCCCCCAGGGCGGGGCTAATTTTGACACTACAGGCAAAATTTGAACAACTTGGTAGAGTACCTATAGATGAAATCCTTTAACAAATATTAAAGCTCTAAGCCTTGTACCTTCAGATAATAAGATTTTTTGATTTTTTACTATATGTATATATTGAAAATCAATGATCCCCACAAAGTCTGTCATTTTTTAACAAGAGCTGTCCGTAAGACAGCGCGCTCGACTTTTTTATTGCTTGCCAATAAAAAAAGTTTTTGCAGTAAAAGGCAATACAAGAATCTCTGTATTTTTAAAGTGAACAATGGCCATGAGCATTAAGATATTTAGTGAAGAATTATTTTACTGAATTGTGTGATACCCTTGAACACTGCAGCAAAGTTTGAAATGTTTAAGTCAAAAGACATGTTTGGGAATCATGATTGTAAACAAGTATTCCAACTTTCAAATTAATATCTCAAACAGTTCAGTCAAAAAGTGGACTGGTACTAAAAACTTAACCAAGATTCTAAGTCGATAAAAGGCCTTAATTTTTAAAACAAATCCTTGACAGAGTTACCTTCTCTTGCGTACAGATGGGGGTAATGATGTGAAATAGCATTAAAAGTTTCAAAGCAATATCTCAAAGGGTTAAGGCAATAAGTGGATTTTACCCATATTCAATGTATTTTCTAAGTCAAAAAGGGGCATAATTCTGTCAAAAACCTTGACAGAGTTATGTCCTCTTGTCTGTTGATGAAGGTCGTGATGGTAAACAAGTATGGTCAGTTTCAAAGCAATACCTCCAATGGTTTTTGAAATAAAGTGAGGTGGTACAAAAAACTTAACCAAGCTCAATACACTTTCTAAGTCAAAAAAGGGCCATAATTCTGTCAAAAACCTTGACAGAGTTATGTACTCTTGTCTGTAGATGGAGGTTATGATGGTGAACAAGTATGGTAAGTTTCAAAGCCATACTTGTAATACTTCTGAAATAAAGTGGGGTGGTACGAAAAACTTAACCAAGGTGTGACGCCGACGCCGACGCCGACGCCGGGGCGAGTAGGATAGCTCCCCTTTTCATAGAAAAGTCGAGCTAAAAATCAGTTAAAATCATTGAGTAATATCCAGTAACTTAAATTTTTACCCCTCATGTTAATAGACATATCAAGTCTAAATTTTCTACAAATGATAACTTTTAGGATGCTTTGTTTTGCATTAATAAAATGTTTCACTTTTTTTATCTTTTTATTTACAAGTTTCATTTGAAAACCATCAAAGTCAATTAATACAAACATAAATTTATTAAAATTCAATTATAAATCCATCAAAATTCAATTAATAGAAGAATTAATTTATCAAAGTTCAATTCATACAAACGTAAGTTTATAAAAATTCAATGATAAATTCATCAAAATTCAATTGCATGTACATTGTACTAATATAAATACATGAACTAATCAAAGTTCAACCAATACAAACAAGAATTAATCAGTAATTGACTTATAAAATGATAATAAAGGTGAATACCCTACCTCATCAAATATTTCAACATACATGTTATCAACACCACTTGGCAGGTAACTGAAATATATAAACCAAAAAAGTAACCTCCCACTAGGCTACACACATTGTTTTCTATCTATATACATGCATGAACATTGGTATCACAAAACATGAATTGAATGAAGAAACCCAATCTATAGTCAACCAGCGAAACAAGAAGTTAGAATACAGGTGGTCTAAATCTACAGATGGTCTGTATCCACAGGTTTAGCTTTATTATGTTCTACAACAAAATGAAGGAAGAAAGAAAAAGATTATTATTACACAAAGTTCTTTGAAAATAATAAAAATGCATAATTTTTAAATTCTATACTTAGGCCTCTCTAAACATATTTAATAATATTTCATATCAAATGAATGTAAAAGAAATCATAATACATTGCAAGAAGATAGACTTAAGTTTGTTAGTAAATTTGTTAGCAATCTCTTTTTATCAAAATTGAATGCATTTTTTCATAACCAGCATCATTGTAGAAGTTTTCTTTATTACTAGCAGACATTTGCTTTCTTTAATGAGTAAAATAAATGATACAGAGTGCAGATTTTCATCTCTTAAAAATAGAGTTCCTAAAACATATGTGAAAAACATAATAAAGAACATTTACCATTGTATGTCTTTACACCATTGCGGATTTTTACCCCCATTGTAAGCTGTAGGTGTTTCAAACACAGCATGACCGACCCTTAGTCTACAGTATGGATCCATCCTGGTCAAACCATAGTTCTTAGTAAGCTTTGCCTGCAGTTGAGAAAATATATACATGACAAAGAAATGCTATAGTCTAAAGAAATCTTTCAATATTCATCGAGAATTTGTAATGAAAGAATCCTTCTAATGGAATAGTTGACAAAGCATTCAAAGAAAGCAAATAAAAATATTGAAATAAAATAAAACAAAACTATTGATTTAAATTTACAAATTTTCTAACATTATTTTCCATTATCATCAATTTAGAATCTTTAAAGGAATTGTTTATATTCCTTTTGCATTTATATGTCTATATTAATTCAGTTTAATTTAAAACGCTAATTTGAATTTGCCCTAATCTTAAGTATTTCCTCTGTAAGGTCTATAATTATGTTCTTAATTTATTTTTCAATAAATTTTCTATTGTCATCCGGTATTGGTCTTTACGGAGTAAATACTAAAGAATAACGCAGCAGACAGCACACAATGCTATGGCCGGCATTGCTCAATGATGATACATCACTTCCCTTGTTTTGTCTGATTGTATTTGTATGTATAATAAATGCTACTGAAGAAGCCCGTCCCAAAGCTACGGCAAATTCAAATTAGCATTTTTAATAATATACAGCGAATTAGAGATTTTATTTATTATATTTTATATATAAGTTTATCAGATTTAAAATGCATGCACTTCACAAATAGATTCCCAAGAGTCACACCTGCACAACACTGATGTTAATTCTTCCTTTTATATTAGCAGGCATGGAATAGTAACCAGCTTGCTGTTGGGCCTGCAGAATCTGTGCCACTCGTTCATCTGCTAACGCCTGTTGCTGCTGTGGTGTACCATTAATTCGAAGAAAATCACCTGGCAGCTCACCCACCATAACCTATGTTAAAAAGAAAAACTCTATAAGTAAATCTGTATACAATATAGTTGATAATTTTGGTGAAATTTGAATAAACTTGTTAATTTTTAATACAATTTTATTGTTATGCCGACCCATATATATATACATGTATATATATATATATATATATAATTGTACTACAAACTGGTAAACATTACTTAGCATTGAATCTGGGTCAACTCAACCCTAAAACTAACTCAGCCCCATGAGTCATCTCGACCTTCTACCAACTTGGCACGGATCAACTCAGCCCAAAATTGTATATTACTGATTATTACTTTTTATCAAAATTACCTAAATTGTCCACACTACGGTACCATGTGTCTGGACAGATATGTAATGACGCTGATTTAATTCAGATAAAAGCTTGGGTGTTTAAATTTTTTATTTTTAAAATGATATACAAAATTTCAGCAGCAAAGCTGAAGTTTTGGATATTCTATCGTTTAATTACATTGCAAATGATTATTATAAGCTAGTACAAGAGGTAATTAAGGTATTGCCCTCTTGACGTCCAAATTTTTAACGCCAATGTTCTTGAAGTAGATATTTAAATATTACCGTTTACATTAATTGAAATAAATTTAATTACTAAATGAAAGAAAAAATATTCATTTATTGTTGATTAAAACAAAGACTGATATACTGATAACCACTGAACAAAGAAAAAGAACTAAATCAAGCATTTTTGGGACCAACCAGTACCTCTGAATTTACTCTTATAGTATATTAATTAATCCTTAAAATGTTTATTAACTAAACCAACTATATCCTAAAAGGTTTCAATAAAGTGCCGAGTATACCCGTGCCAAGTTGGTATAGGGCTGAGTTGACCCTTTACCCTTGTGGTGATGGTGCTGGTATTTTTCAGTAAGACACATTGAATTTACCAGAGCGCAGTTCAAGCTTCGCATCATTCCTGGCCAGGCTGTCCTGTTTACTAGTACTAGTTGCCTTCACTTTCGTAAGGAACTGAAACTTCTGTACATACCTGAGCAGGGGTACAGTGCAAATGACCGCAGAAAGGATTTCATGATCAATCACAGTGAAAGTGAAATGACAGTGTATGCTGGAGCGATTTCTAAATTTATCTGTTAAATGCTCAAACACTTTTTACATAATTTTTTTAACTTTTACTCCAAATTATTAAAATTCTTACATGATTTCTCCTATCGCTGCTAGGTGTATGATTTGTACCTGTTGTTTCAGACATCTTCCAAGCTTAACAACGCAATTATTCAGAACATTTATTGTTTACAAAAAAATATTTTATTTCAATAGTTCTTCTTCCTGGAAGGGAGATCACTCTGAATAACAATTTTTTAAAGGGGAATACGGTAATATTGTGACGACATGCACCGTGACGTAACGTACAACATCGTTGTGCAGCGCTAACAGTGCGTAACAACGACATTATTTAACAAAAATGAAAGAAAAATATGAAAACATGGTAAAATAAAATGGAATACATATTAGGTTACAGAGAAAATATCAGAGGTAATATATCAACTTTGATTGAACACAATACCCCTTTAAAATTCAATTAGCTATGGGAATTTAGAGTACTCTCCCATCTGAATGTAAATGCTTAATGTTTTTGTATTTTTGTAAGTTTTCTTATGCTTTGTATGGAAATATTGACTTTATTTTTTATTTTTAGCATTTTTTTTATTGTTCAATTAAGAAGTGAAAGTTTAAATGAGTATAAGTAGTGATTGCAGTAAGTAGTGTACTGCAAAATTAAGAAATATTCATCATCAATTTTAACCTGTTAACTAGATTTCTACACTAGTCATTAATAATTAAACTGAAGATGTAGGTGTATTTTATTTGCCTTAACTTAAGTACATGTGTATTTAAAGAATAAGTAGAGTACTCACCAGGCTTTCACCATGGGCATTAATTGGCACTCACATCAGAGTACACTTAAATGACTGTAAAAAATGACTGTAAAATTTGATACACCCTATCCTAATTAATTCGGTGTGAACGGTTTAATCAAAATCATAGACCGTAATTTCATACTGTCAAACCGTTGGGAAAGACATTGCCCGTCCAAAGTCATCTCTGTCATTTTGACAAGTCTATTAGATGGTCTAGCAATACCCCTGTTCTTAGATCTCATTCTGTGCAGTCTGACCAGGCTCAATTGTTGTATTTATATTGAAATCCCTTCAACTTTGAGCAGACTGTTCAAGATTCAAAGTTGGGCAAATCCATATTGCAAAAAATAAGGCAGGTTATTAGGGTTTAATTATTGCAAATTTAAGTTATTTGTGGAAAAGCATCACTTATCAAAGATTAATTGTTTTTTCATGTTGTCTAATCTAAAGTGATCATGATCACACTGCACCAATTAGTTGTAACCTCAGCTTCCACACCTGAGGGCAGTTTTGATGAGCAGAGGGAATTTAACTGAACTTTAACCATTCACCATTATTCACATGCATTGGCTTTAGAATCATCAATGGACCTTTCTCTGAGTGTCAAATCTGACAGAATGGCTATCCAATTGCAACACTGTGGTAATACATAGTCACTGGTTAACCTCAGGTTTACACAAAACAAAAGTTAACATGGTTTTGTATGTGATACTTTTATATTCATGTAAGCAGTTGACCTTAAGCAATCAATAGGAAATTCTGGGCTTATTTTTTCACTGTTAAAATCTTGCAAGGTCCATGATTAAACATGGTCTATATTTAAATGAAGTATTTAAAGAAGGTAGGTAGTATCTTTGTATGAAACCATAATTGCGTCTTCTGTAAAAAACTAGAACTATCACTAAATGTGATAAATACCCCCCACAAGACTGCTTTTGAAAGAAGGAAGTTACTAGTAACTAGTTACTAGTAACTAGTTACTAGTAACAGAATACCTTGCAAAAGACTTGAAATAGAGTTATGGTTGTGGGCAATTAAAGATACATGTAGTTGTGGTTCTTGTATGTTGCATTTCCTTTTAATGTGGTTGACCATTGATGAAGTTTTATTGAATTACTCTGTAATAAGTCCAGAAAGAGTTACGCTTCTTGAGCACTGCACTTCCTCTCATTGGCTTGACCATTGTATGAAGTTGCATTAAACATTTGTTTTTAAGTTATGCACCGGACAAGGAAAAAGAACAAAGGGTAATAACTCTACAAATACTGAAGATGGAGTTATGGTTATTGTACACTGTACTTCCTCTCATTGCCCTTTACCATTGTATGAAGTTGTTTTGAATTCCAACCACTGGATTTCAAGTTATGCACTGGACAAAAAAGTAACAAAGGCAATAACTGTAATTTGTCCAAATAGAGTTATGGTTCTTGTGCACTGCACTTCATCTCACTGCCCTTAACCATTGTATGAAGTTTCATTGAATTCCAACCATTAATTTTCAAGTTATGCACTGGACAATAAAAAGTAACAAAGGGCAAAAACTCTTAAATGAGTCAAGAAAGAGTTATGGTTTCTATGCACTGCACTTTCTCTCAATGTGCTTGATCATTGTATGAAGTTGTATTGAATTCCAACCATTAGTCTTCAAGTTATGCTCCGGACAAAAAAAGCAATGGAAAAGTAACAAAGGGCAATAACTCTGTAATTACTTTAGATAGAGTTATGGTTCTTGTGCACTGCACTTCCTCTTATTGTGCTTGACCATTGTATGAAGTTGTTTTGAATTCCAACCAGTAGTTTTCAAGTTATGCTCCGGACAAGGAAAAGTAACAAAGGGCAATAACTCTGTAATTAGTCAAGATAGAGTTATGGTTCTTGTGCACTGCACTTCCTCTTAATGTGCGAAGTTGTATTGAATTCCAATCATTAGTCTTCAAGTTATGGCCCAGACAAAAGAAAGCTATGGAAAAGTAACAAAGGGCAATAACTCTGTAATTACTTTAGATAGGGTTATGTTTCTTGTGCACTGCACTTCCCCTTATTGTGCTTGACTATTGTATGAAGTTGTTTTGTTAAATTCCAACTAGTAGTTATCAAGTTATGCTCCGGACTAAGAAAAGTAACAAAGGGCAATAACTCTGTAATAAGTCAAGATAGAATTATGATTCTTGTGCATAGCACTTTCTCTCAATGTGCTTGATCATTGTATGAAGTTGTATTGAATTCCAATCATTAGTCTTCAAGTTATGATTTGGACAAGGAAAATGCAACGGACCGCTGGACCGACATACCACCGAGTGACTCCTATATACCCCCCAAACTTCGTTTCAAGGGTATAAAAACTCACAGAAGGATTATAAAGTTCCAAAAATTTGCTTTGCTTCAAAGCAGTCACAGAAACCCAAGAAGATTTTTGGGGGTTTTTTTATAGACCCTATATCATAATAAAATTGCAGATTTGGTATGACTGCTTGCCCTTAAATTTATTTCTTTGATATATTTTCAGGGTATGGCAGAAAAAGAACCCATAAAATGTCTGCTACAGAATCGCTGAAAGATGCTCAGAGTTCTAGCGGAGTCGGTAATACATGTACAAACCCTTCTTTGGAGAATATAGAAAATAATAAATTGGTTGTGGACAGATTTGCCTCCCTTTTCAACAATGAAAAATTGAGTGATATAATAATACAAGTTGGGGACGAAAGATTTTACGCCCATAAATTCATGCTGATCATCTGCAGTGAGGTCTTTGAGTGAGTTGAACAAATAAATGAATATTATTCTTTCATTTTAATTTAATTTTTACAGTTTAAGGCAAAAAAAATAAATGAAAACAGGTCATTTATATTAAGAGCATGCATATGCTTTAATAAAATCATTTTAATTTCTTTTGACTGATTACCATGCCTGATTGCATACTGATTAAATTAAATGTACAGTATATAAATTAGATCTCTGTTATTAATTAAATTTTTAATAAAGACATCATGAAATTAAACAGGGCGAGAATAATTCTTTAGTAATAAGGCATATTGATGTAATTTAATGTTAATGCAAAATTACAAATTTGTTTGCCTAAAAATAGGAGATAATATTTCATTGATTATTCTATGTAAAGAAGTCTAGAACAGATAAAGTTAATATATTTAATATATTCTTGGCAATTTACAGGGCAATGTTAAATGAGGATAGATGGAAAGAAGCAAGCCAACCTGAGATTAAACTGACAGAGGAGGAGGAATGTATACCTGTATTTTCTCTATTCCTCCGGTAAGTTGATATATAAATGTTATTTATTTCTTTTCCAATAAAGATAGGTTATATTCCTATGATTTTAAAATGATCATTTTTTTTGCTTATTATTTCAGAAGTTGATAGTAATTTACAGTTGATAGCTTAAGTCTGATTCACAAGCAAATCTTTTTTATTACTTTACCTACCTAATAAAATTGAATAGAAATACTTATACGGATATGTGTTAAAAATAAATCTAATTATCTAAAAGACATAATTATATACCATTTCATATTTTTTCAGGTACATATATTCTGGTTCTGTTGGTCTAACAACAGATAACGTTCTGCCAATATTGCTGTTAGCTGACAAGTACTGCATCCCTGCACTTAGTACAGCCTGTGTGGAATACATGACCCGTCACATTGTTGAATCACCCGACACAAACCGAACCTTGTCATGGTACCAATACTCCAAGATGACGGGAAACAGCCTACTTGTGGATAAGTGCCGCAAATTCATCTTATCAAATTTTGAAATCATTCTGAAGACAGCAGACTGGATGGATCTGTCGAAAGATGAAGTTGTGGAGTTTTTGTCAAGTAGCGATCTTGTTATTTCAAACGAGTTTGATTTATGGCTAAAGCTTGAGCAGTGGCTGTTGAGTGAAAGTAACCACAAGGATGTTGCATTAAATGTGAAGGAAGTTGTCCCGCTCTTGAGGTTTAAAATGATGCAGCCAAAGCAGTTGTTGGAGATCGAAAAGTCACAGTTGTATGTGGATCACAAAGATATATTTTCTGATAAAATAAATGCCGCATATCGTTACCATTCACTCATCATGAATGAAGTGTATCAAAATCACAGGGATGAAATGTTCCGGAACTATATGTGCAAATTTTACTGCCTATGTATAGACCTCACATTGCTGCATTACAACTACGTAGAGAAGTTTGAGAGCAAAATCAACCATTTGGTAACTATCCCAGTTGATGTTGTTGCTTCGTCCAACAAAAAGAATATGAAAGAGATCCCTTTTGAGGTCACGTTCTGGCCCAAAGGTCCATTCAAGACATTCAGTTGGTACGGCTACACGTCCCCAAATGTCACTATGTCGTTGAAAATGCTGTGTAAAAATTTGTCTGCTGTGGACACTTCCATGTCCCTGATCTTGTACGGGATCAAAAATGGGGTAAAATACGTTGCCTTCTCCTACAATGCCACCCATAAATTTACAGCCTCGTCTAGCGTCTTCACAGAAGACAATGTTGTCCAAATAGAACATCTCAAGGCAGATAACTCTCCATACATTGTAAATGGGAACCTTGAAGCAAAGTTGTTCTTGAAGATTAAGGATGTCGAGTGGGATAAAGATAATTAACTTTCTACCTAGCAGCTTTTGTTATATCTATGTATATTAAAGTGGCTGAATTTTTAAGGCGTGTGCTTTCAGTTTTCTAGTCTGAATGTATTTTTATCTTTGAATTGTTGTTTTACAGTTAAATCTTTATGATTAAGCTTGAAATCCTATTAGAATCTCCCTTATTGAACGCGGCATTATATTAGTAACTTGTGTTCATTTTTTCATTATTTGTTTACCAATAATGGCCAGGTCTGAATTGAACAAATTTTTATTCTTAAAATTGTTATTGCAGTATCTTTTTATATAGTGTTCATGTTTCTATTTTTATGAAATACCGGTACTTACTTTTTCATATAGAAAAGCTTATTAATACTGTATTTATTTAGCAATGTTGTTTATTGTTGTTATTATATTGCTTTAAATGTATAAAACATATCAAAATTTTACATATAAAAATCTCACTTTATTGTATTAAATTGTAGTAAACTTTTACCAGTTTTTGTTTCTTATTTCGACTTAGTTTACAAAGATAATCAGCAGTTTTTCATCAAAACTGGGACGCAATCAGATGCTTTAGATAAACAACTATCTGCCTCTAAATGAGTCATTGGTTAATTTTGTTTTGTATATAAAAGGTTAGTGTCTATTCTTGTAATTCAAAAATTGCAGTGATTTTTTAAGCCTCCATCCCTCACTTTTAACAAATAGGATTTTCAAAAACAAGGGGAGCCAATATAAAGTATGTTTCTATTACAAAATTTAAGAAATGTTTATGTCAAGCCAGGATTGGTATTTTTCCCTAGAATTTTACCTCCCTTTGGACTAGAAATATTACACTTTTTGAGAAAGCTTCATCAATTCAATTGCACATTTCAAAACTGTGCGTCAACCTGGAAAAAATAGAATGAATCCTGCAATCCGGTGTCCTAGAATACACACTGTGTTGGTGTTCACAAAGTAAGCTTTTACAAAATCAGCTAAAAACAGCACAGTCACTTGAATAATTTAGTATTGTAAATGTTTACTCGTGAATACAAACCATTTTTCTTACCAGTTGATTAACTAGACCCAATTTATCAAAGTGTGTTACAATTCATAAGAAATACTGCAATTCAACAAGACAAAAAATTATTTCAGTTTCAGTTTTTTTCTTCAATTACTGCCATAAATTTAAATGTAGAGCAGTTTCGTCCATGGACAGTTGCCGACCACTTATTACTTTTTCATAATCAATTTTAATATGAACTTTATTAATAACTCAATATTGTTTCTTATGGAAACACTAGACCTTTACATAAGTCAAGGATATACAGAATATCCCTACCAATGGTGAAGATAAAGTAATACATGCTCTGGTGATACACTACAGTTGAGTGGCATCATTTCAAGATACTCAAAACACAGAGTATTAAATATTCACGTTTCTCTTAAATAAGCTTCCCGCCCCCCCAGCATTTAAATAATGCAAGTGTATTTCTCTCAGAATGGTTGTTTTCGAGGGTCAGAACTCAAAACTGGCACTTGTTAATTTTATAGGTGAAGGAAGATTCTGCGCCATAGTTCATACCAAAGTATTATTCCTTAGGCTAACCACAAGCTTGCTTTAAATAGTGGTTGGGTGGCCAACTTATTTTAAGTTTACAGACTAGTAAATTAAGGATTGCTGGCCACATGGTTCAAATCCCATCTGGGAATAGTTGTTGTTTCCTTCAGCAAAAAAAGTTTACACCAGCTGCTTGATTCCAAGAATGAATTCCAGTGTGACAGTGTATAAGCTTATAGCTTGCTTCACAATCAAACAAAAATAAATTCTGTACAAACTAGATAAGACTTCCTGATGACTCTCAAATACACAGAACATGTTATTTTAAGAGTCAACTGAAATAAAACTTAAGATTTTCATTTCGTCTGGTCAGCTTTATTTAATGTTAAATAACAGACAATGTGACAGTTTATCTATAGCCGTAACCCTCGATCACTTTCTGGTACTGTGCAATCTTGGATGCAACATTAAGACGTGCCTTGGCTCTCAAGTTCTGAAAATACAATAATATACATTTTTACATGTGTGATATCTTTAGTATTTTGCATGAACAGTTGTTATACTCGTGTCAGATACTCATCACTCAAGCATTCGCAACTATAATGACATTGTCTAAGTAACCAATTAAGAACAAGGCCAGGCTAAAAGTCCTACCAAGATATTATTAGTATAGAATATACATATAGCAGGATTATCTCAATTCCACAGTCATATCTTTCCATGCTTGAAGTTCATATACATAAAGGTTATACATAATATATAAAACATTTAATTTCATATTTTATAGAGGATTTCTTATTTACAAGTCATTGCTTCAGAGTTTGTTGACATCATTCTACATCAAGAGTAGCAAATATTATGTTATGACATCATTAGCAGTGACTTGTAATTACTTAAAATTTTGGTCAATTGAAAAAGGCATAGATACTATGATCCTAGCAATTTCATAAAATACATGGTAATATTTTTATATAGCCCTGGTTAGGAGAAAATGTCAGTTTTCATATAAAAATTGCCTTTCAAAATAAACAAACATAAGCTGATAAAAAGCTATAAGTATGAGGGCGTACTCAAGTGAACCAAGAATTTCTAACTTCAAAAACTGTCAAAATCCATGTTATGAGTGGGTGATGGATTATGACCTATTAATATGACCCCCAAGAGCAATTATAAGTTTAATGTAAAAACCTTCAATAATTTTGAAGACTGATGTAGCATGCAAGGTTTAAATCAGGAATTTTTCTAATTTCACAAAATGCCATAAGGCCATTAATCAGTCAAGTCATGCTCGAGTTATGGACCTTGGATCTTGACCTAGCATGATTTCTTATAAGCATGTGAAGTTACAGGCAAAGATCTTGATGAGATATGATGAAGTACAGTAATTTGCATGTAAAACTTCAACTTTTGTTACCCTGACACTCAGGTGAGAAGGATAGCCCCACTCCGTAAAGTCAAACGAAAATAACGGACATTTGACAGTAAAAAAAAATGTATTCTTTTGACATAGATTCATTGTCACTTCTTACTAATGTCTGACAAAAAAGATGAAAGTATAAACAGGGTTCGTACAGACTTGCTGACCTAAAATTCCATGATTTTTCCATGACAAATTTCAGTTTTCCATGATATCAAATTTCATCTGTTTAACAACACCAGTCCTCAAAATGGTAAAGAAAAAACATAAAAATGATTTCATTCATTTATTTAGTAGAATGCATTTAAAAATGCAAGGTCGTGAAAACGGAAGTAACCAAACCGGTGTCGTAACAATTTGTACCCGTGAGAAAAATATAACTAGGTGTAACACAACTAAATCCCAATTTCAAACGCCATTGTCGTATAACGTAGACGCATATAGTTAAATAGTACATTTTTATTTTAAGCGAATAATACTCTGCAAATTAAATAATTCAAGGATATTTATTAGAAATTCCATGATTATTTTGTGAAATTCCCTGATAAATTACCAAATTTCAGAATTCCCTGAGTTTTCCATGATTTCTTCACAAAAAAAAAACGATTTTCCATGACTTTTCCAGGTCTGTACGAACCCTGTATAAACCATTTCAGCTAATATTGAGTTTTCACGAAGTTTCAAGTTCGGGAAATTAACATCACCAATGGTTTATGTAGACTGTTTCTTAACATAATACAATTTGTTTCTGACAGATGTAGCATGCAAGGTTTAAATCAGGAATTTTTCTAATTTCATAAAATGCCATAAGGCCATTAATCAGTCAAGTCATGCTCGAGTTATGGACCTTGGATCTTGACCTAGCATGATTTCTTATAAGCATGTGAAGTTACAGGCAAAGATCTTGATGAGATATGATGAAGTACAGTAATTTGCATGTAAAACTTCAACTTTTGTTACCCTGACACTCAGGTGAGAAGGATAGCCCCACTCCGTAAAGTCAAACGAAAATAACGGACATTTGACAGTAAAAAAAAATGTATTCTTTTGACATAGATTCATTGTCACTTCTTACTAATGTCTGACAAAAAAGATGAAAGTATAAACCATTTCAGCTAATATTGAGTTTTCACGAAGTTTCAAGTTCGGGAAATTAACATCACCAATGGTTTATGTAGACGGTTTCTTAACATAATACAATTTGTTTCTAGAGCCCACCCCAATTGATCAAATTTTGGATAAACCAAAAATAAACATTCTCAAAAGACAACCAAGCTTTTAAAGGATGATCAATTTTGACATGTTTTTACCACAATTTAACGAAATTCATCCTCTTTAAAATTTAAATTGTGGCAATGGAGTGACAAACCTTTCCTACAAGTGCAGTTTAACTAGGCTCTTTATTTTTGACCCGATAACATGATATCCCTAATTGTGATAATTAACATTGGCAAAAATAGAAACTGAAAATGTATTTTATTGATTATTTCCTTCAACCAAACTTTTATCGCTGACAAAATACACTTTGTCGATGCTTTTCTAATCCGAAGCTCCTCCCTCTTCAACAAGGAACCTAACATAACCTAATTTGAAATATATAAATGGTTTGTTACTGCTTCAGCGTAATGTTGACATCATTTCACATCAAGAGTAGCAAATATTACATAAACATCATTAGCAGTGACAGACTAAACCAATTTTAAGACCTACAGGATTTTGAACTCAAATTATAGAAAATTCAAATTATTGAAATATTTGGAAAGTTTGACAAAAACAGTTTGGGTTTTTTTTGGTAGCACCATTAACTTGTAGGTATATACTTTACAGACCGATTAAGTAATCATGTATACTGTACATCCCCTTTCATGTAAAAAATAGCAAACTTGCATGATTTACACAAGTTGCCTGTATAATAGCAATCTAGACTAAAGCTTGAATATCTCCTGACTGATGTAGTACAAAGAGTTTAAACAGACACCTGGGTAACCAAGATAACTCTCCATCCATGCATGTTATATATATATATCAATACACTGTCTAGCTAAGCTCACTTTTACAGCTACATTGAATAGAACTAGATTTTTTCTCCTAGGTAAAATAACTTCAAAGTAAAATGTAAACCACTTCAGATCAATATTTTTATTTTTCAGTTAAGATCAAGTTCGGGAAATGATCATCACAAATGGTCTACATAGTGTATAACCTGTCCAGCCTTACTACCATACTTACATCAGCAACTTTTTTATTTTCGTAGAATTTCTTTGACTTGACTTTTCTCTTGGCCTCAAGTGTACCAATAACACCTTGGTATTTCCATCCAACTTCATGGGCAAGTCTGTTCAAATCACAGTACTGTAGGAGACACAAAGATTCAGTTTTATATTTCAAGTAAGAGTTTGGGTTTATGTTGCACAAACACAGAATACGTCATAGGCAACTTTCCAGCTTTACTTGTGGAGGAAGACCTCAGGTGAAATTCCATGCATTAATTCAGGCACAAACGGGCACCTGAGTAGAGCCACCAACATTC